TGTTCCTTCCATTGTCTCTTGATGCTTCCTGCATTGCTTAATATTTTGCCCATGTTGTTGTTGTTGCTAAGTGCCATCAAGTCGGTTCTGACTCATAGCGACCTTGTATAGGGTTTCCAAGGAGCAACTGGTGAGTTTGAACTGCCAACCTTATGGTTTAAACCAACCTTGCAGTCCAGTGCTTTTTCCCACAGAATCCTTCAATATTACAAAATAATGCAGGGATATTTTTCTTCTTGAGAAGTGCTGAGCATATTCTTTCTTCATGGCTTTATAACTCCAGATTAGAAATAGGACTGTATATCAGATGGGAAAAAGAAGACCATTAGACTAACTCTAAGACCCTGAGTATGTAAAAGTACGTTACCACTTACTCAAATGAGAAAGTTGCTATGTAATCAATGAGAAAGCCTGGCGGGAAAGTCAAGAGTAGAGTTGAGGACATGTCAAGTGTAAGATGCCTATTGAACTCCAAATGGAGATATTGAGAAGCAATTAGATATATGAGTCTATACAGTTCAGAGGAGAGGCCAAGTCTGGAGATATCAATTTTGGAGTCACTGGCATTCAGATGGTATTTAAAGCCACAGGCCTGGATGTTATCACCAAGAAAGTGCATGTTTCTAGAGAGGAGAAAAGTACCAAGAACTGAACTTTGGTGCACTCCAATCTTTAGATATAAGGGATAAGAACAGCAAAGGAGCCTGAGAAGATGACTGGTAAAGAAAAATCCAGGAAAAGAAAAGAGCCAAGTGAAGACTATCAATGAAGAAGTGGAAACTAACCAACTATGACTCATTCTACTAACTGGGACAATAATATGATCACTGAGAGCTGACCACTGAATCGAGCAACCCGAAAGGTCCTGGTGATCTTAACAAGAACAATTTCAAGGTGTTATGGGAGTAAAAGTCTGTCTGAAAATAAGAGAGAAATTGGAAATAATAAAAATAGGCCAAATACAAAAAAGACATTTGATTGTAAAGTTGTTGTTAGGTGCCCTCAAGTCAGCTGCCAACTCATGACTACAACGATCTATTGTGATTTATAAGATTTTCATTGATGATTTTTGGGAGTAGGTCACCATATCTTTATGCTAGTCTGTCTTAGTCTGGAAGCTCTGTTGAAAGCTTTTTAGCATCATAGCAACATGCAAACCTCCAATGCCAGGTGGGTGTTGGCTGAGCATAAGGTGCCTTGGCCAAAATCAAACTAAAGTCTCCCATACGAAAGGTGAGATTTTACTACTAACCAACCATTGACTATCGCCTTTTTAAACTGTTAAGAGGAGCAGAGAAATGAGCCATAGTTGAAGGGAAAATGTGTGATGAGAACCATGCAGTAGAGATAAGGAAAAAGGATGCAGTCGAGAGAGGAGACAACTACTGGAGCAATGTCCTTATGTAGGTGAAGTAGATGGGATCTCACGGACAAGGAAAGTACCAGAAGAGCAAACCGTTTATGCACACAGCTACAGGTGTAGAGGTAGGCATGATGGGAAGGCTTAAAAGCATTTTCTTATTAATGATTCTATTTTCTCAGTGAAATAGGATTAAGTTTATCAGCTGCAAGTAGAGAACAAAAGGGAAGATTTGAGGTAAAAGAAGAGATGTGGCAAAGTAGGAGGGAGAATGTATAGGAAAATGTAATATAAATCCTAGCCAGCACTAAGAGTTTCACTTAAAATAAGGGGTCATGAATTTAAAGTAAGATTAGTCTACATGGGTCTGTGTTTTCTCCAATTATGTTTGGCTCTTGTATGCTGATACAGAGTTAGTACACAGATGGAATTAGTTAATGGGATAGATTCCAAGCAGTGAAAGATGTATTTAAAGAAATTATAAGATTTAAGTCAGATCAGGAAAGAAAGAGGATTAGGTCCAAGTAGAGTTCCAAAAGTGTGGGAGTTGAGGTAGTTGAGTGAGTGAGATGGAAATAAGATGGTGGTTGAAGAGAGAGAGATGCTTGAAATGAGATTTTGGAGGATTTATAGCTATTGGAAAGGATAAGATCTAGAGGTCAACCATTGTTGTTGTAAGGAGCCATCGAGTCAGAACCGACTCATAGCGACCCCATGCACAACAGAATGAAACAATGTCCGATCCTGGGCCAACCTCACTACTGCTGCCGCACTTGACACCATCAATGATGCCACCTGGCTGATCCATCTCGTTGGGGGTCTTCCTCTTTTTCTCTGACCCTCCACCTTACCCAGCATGACATCCTTCTCCAGCGACTGTTCTCTCTGGACAATGTGTCCAAAGTAAGAGAGATGAAGCTTAGCCATCTTGGCCTCCAAGGAGCACTCTGGTTGCACTTCTTTCAAAACAGATCTATTGGTTCTTTTGGCAGCCCATGGCACTTTCAGTATTCTCCTCCAACATCACAACTCAAAGGCATAAATTCTTCTACGATCTTCCTTATTCACTGTCCAGCTTTCGTATGCATATGAGGTTATCGAAAATACCATAGCTTGGGTCAGGCGCACCTTAGTCCTCAAGCTGACATCTCTGCTCTTCAGTTCAACCATAGGAAGGTGGAGAATTGAGGACATCATTGGAAAAGAAGTAAATTAAGGAACTGTGAGACCAGAGTATTGGAAGGATCATCAACATAGATATTTAAATCTCCAAAAACTAGGACAGGAATAGTGTTGGTGTGACAGTGAGTCAGGCTAAAATCTTCAAGAACAGAGAGGAAGTGGCCCAGATGACTGCAGAAAAGGAGGATGGGGGCAAGATAAGCTGAAGCAGACAAACAAGCTAATGGAGCTCATTCATGGATCATTAATTTTCAGCCTTTGTTTTCTAATCATTTAAGGCTCCAAGTACAACTCTAAACACATCACATGATGTTTGATATGTAGAATCTCATTATTAAGGAGTCCTGATGGTGTGGTAGGTTACACATGGGCTGCTTGCTAATAGTAGGGTCAGCAGTTTGAACACACCAACTGCTCTGTGAGAGAAAAATGAGACTTTCTGCTCCTGTAAAGATTTACAGTCTCAGAAACCTTATACTATGAGTTGCTATGAGTCGGAACCAACTCCATGGCATGAACAACAACATATTGTTCAGTCCTACATTTAAAATATCCTTATTTGACCTATCAGTTAGTTGTAAGTATATTTTATTTTTCAAAAACAGACTTTTTTGTCCAGTACACTTTAGCTGTACAAGCGGAATTCAAAAAAAGTTCATGGAAAAATCCAATTGTCTCTTAACTTCATTTTCCCAAAAACCCATTGTACCTTTTCATAGTCTTCTGTGATCTACTGGAGCCCCTGGGTGATGCACATGGGTAATGTACTCAACTGCTGACTGAAAGTCCAATCGATGGTTCACGTCTATCCAAAGGCAACTCAGAAGAAGGCTGGTGATTGGCTTCTGAAAAATCAGTCATTGACAACCCTATGGAGCTCAGTTCTAGTCTGATAAACATGAGATTAGCATGAGTCAGGGTCAACTTGTCAGCAATTGTGTTTTTGGAGCCCTTGGGTGGTTCAAATGGTTAAATGTTTGGCTAGTATCCAAAAGGTTAATGGTTCAAGACCTCCCAGAAGAAAGAACTTGCTATCTACTGCCAAGAGATCACATTGAAAACCCTACAGAGTAAACTTAAATCAGAACTACCCTCTGAAGTCTTCTTAAAACCAAACAATAGTTTAATTTAACTAGAAAAAATTGTCTGCCTTCATCATTCTGCTTTCTAAAGATCTCTCTGTATGGGACCAAGTTAACAGCAGCTACTGGAAAGATAGATGGGAACCTTAGAGCCAATGAGTGTATGTTAATGGAAAAGGTGAGTGAGAAGGTTGCACAGCTCCACAACAGTGTAATTAATAGCACTGAAATGTACATGTAGAAACAAATTGGCACATAGTTTTTGTTGTGTATTCTCAACAAAAACAAAATAAATCACTTTTTAAAAAAGAAAACCCTATAGAGCATAATTCTACTCATTGGAATCAATTCAATGGCAGCTGATTTGCTTTTTGGCTTTACTAGACTCTAACAGCTGGCTGTGTGGCATTGGGGGTATAGTGGTGAGCATAGCTGCCTTCAGTTGACCTGGACTTGATTCCTGGCCAACACAGTGGGCCCATCTTTGAAGTCCTGGTGTAGCGCTGTGGGTTAATGCATTGGGCTGCAAAATCGGTTTGAACGACAAGGTCGGCAGTTCAATTTCCCCAGCCACTCCTCGGAAACCCTATATAGGATCAGAACCAACTTGACAGCACTTAACAACACAACAGTATATTTATCTTCTCCAGTAGACTCGAAGTTTCTTACATATAAAATATGAATGATAATAGTGGGTGATTTTAATACACCGCTTTCAAAAATGGATAGAACAACCAGAAAGAAAGTTGACAAAGACACAGAAGAACTAAACAACACAATAAGACAATCGGACCTCATAGATGTGTACAGAGCATTCAACCCAACAACTTCACAATACACATTCTTTTCCAGTGCACATGGAACATTCTCCAGACTAGACCATGTCTTAGGCCACAAAACAAATCTCCATAAATTTACAAATATCAAAATACTACAAAGCATCTTCTAAAATATGAATGAATGTTTCCTTTTTGTCATCTCTTTCTCATGTAGCCCCACCTTCCTTTCTGACCCCACCATGTCCTGTGATTCCACCTTCTTTTCTGACACCATCCTTATTCATTTCGTAAATTTGCATTGAGCATATGCTGCATGCCATTCGCTGAACTAAGCACAGGGAGACACACTGATTAAAAACAGTATTATTTATCCTGCTCTTGAAGAACGCCCAGTAAACTAAGGAAAACATGAACAAATCATAATACAACATGAAAAGTGCTCAAACAGAGAAGTATGAAGGGCCAAGGGAGTCTAAAGAGAGAGGACCTATCACAGTCTTTGGGGTTCTAGAGGACATGAGAAGGAGGAAGCCTTTGGGGTGCATATAAGCCCACAAGCCTCTAACACTGACTCTCTCTCTACCTGCCCTCCCCCAGACCTTCGAGCAGCGGAAGGTGGTGGAGTTCACATGCCACACGGCCTTCTTTGTCAGCATCGTGGTTGTGCAGTGGGCTGACCTCATCATCTGCAAAACCCGCCGCAACTCAGTCTTCCAGCAGGGCATGAAGTGAGCGCCCCACTAAGGACCCCAACCCTGTCCCCAGCCTGGACACAGGAACATGGAATCATAACCTATCTCCAACACACCCATAAATGTTTCTTCCCAGAAACAAGGTCCTACTAGTTGGGATTTTGGAGGAGACATTACTGGCTGCTATTCTGTCCTACACTCCAGGCATGGACATGGCCCTGAGAATGTACCCACTCAAGTGAGTAGGGGAGGGTTACCTCTGCATGGGATTCTCAGGGCACAGGGAGAGCCTGCGGGAGGGATGGTGTGTTTCAGTAATGTAGTCATAGCTGTCTCCCTACATGGGGCTACACTCGGTGATGCAAGGAGAGAGTTATCTGTACTGGGACAAGTGGATCTTATTTAGAACGGTATTAGAGACCTTGACAAATAATCAAAACCCACTAGACATGCAAATTTAGCAGATATACCAGGAGAAAGATGAGACTTTCTGCAATGAGTCAGCACTGACTCAATGGCACTTAACAACAACAACAACCAGTGTCTGACCGAGTGGAATCTTTTATGATGGTATGTAGTGGAGCTGTTCAATGCCATATTGCTTACAGCTGCTGTGGAACATGAAATCTGAAGACTTTGTGCCTGTGAATGACTTGTCTTCTTCGTCTTCTTGTTAAGTGCCGTCGAGTCTGTTTCAACCCATAGCAACCCTGTATAGGATTTCCAAGAAGCAGCTGGTGAACTTGAACCACTGATCTGGTGGTTCAAACCAACTTTGCAGTCCAGCGCATTAACCCACAGTGCCACACCAAGACTCCCTTGTACCTAGGTTCCATCTTGTGCCTAAGTTTCAGTGTCCAGATGGCAAATTCTCTTCAGTATTTTATGCACCTCTGACAACTTAACTGCCGGAGTTAGAAGCAGAGTATATTTGAGGGTGGGTTTTGGGGTCACTTCCCCCAGCCAGCAATTACAGGAACATTTCTGGATATACCTCTTGATGATCTCATACCCCAAGAACCTCAGAGACTGTAAAGTCTCCTTTGTGTAACAGTCCCCTCCCTGCTTCCCAGCTTGCATATATGACTTACGGCTGCTGTCAATCATGGTTGTGGGAGGAGATTCCTTTATTCTCTGTGGCCTATGAAAGGTCACCACTTGGAGGTAGAACTTTGGAAACCCATCATGATGTCTATGATTTTTCCCCACCCGGGTCATCTATGTCTGTCTTTGAGTTGTGTTTAACTCTTCTTTAAAACTTAATGAAGAATCTATATGTTATTTATATCTTTGAAGGTGGGGTCTCTTTTCTCCCCTGTAATAGAGCTGAAGTAAGCATAAGAATAACTAATCTACACATGGATAATTCTGTTATACAAATATCTCCTTACTAGATGCCTGGGGAGATCTCAGATAGTCCAGTAACCTCTATTTTGGGTATGCAAAGTCTGTGTATCCAGAAACCAAGGGTGGGGGTGGGGGGTCCTCCCTCAACAACTCAGAAAATGTGGTAGGTGGTGTGTGTGAACACGGCATACACCTCTGTGACATTTATCCTATTTGATTTCCACTGACTTTCATTCTCCCCAGTGGCTGTGACCTTTCAGAACTAGGTCACTAAGACTCTCTCCTGAGGTACCTGTGTGCTATTCTTCGCATCTCATCTGGCCCAAATATCGCCTGCCACACTGACCAATTCTTGTTCCCTACAGGGTGACCTGGTGGGTCTGTGCCATGCCCTATAGCCTTCTTATCTTTGTATATGATGAAGTCAGAAAACTCATCATTCGACGAAGACCTGGTGGTGAGGCATCCCTAAGCCCTGCTCTGACTGATGGACCACCAGACCCCTAACTAGCTGTCCCATCATACCTGGTTCTTCTAGACCCACTGCCTTTCTCCTCACCTCACTGACCTCAGCCCTTACTCCTGACTCAACTACCCATTCCTAGTAGTCCTTGATGCCCAGACTTTGCTTTCCATTCTGCTGGTCTCCTCTTGGTACCTTCCCGCCACTTTCTCCCAGTTCACTCTGGTCTCTTGTCACCCACAGGCTGGTTGGAGGAGGAGACCTATTACTGAACTCAGCAGAGGAAAAGCCACATATGACATGGTGCCGGGGTAGGAGCACGGGTTAAGGCTACTGAGTTTGACACAGCTGAGAGATGGACTACCTCAGATGAGACAGACATACAGTCCTGGGGTTGGACCAACAGCATCATGGTTAGCAACTAGGGTGGGTTAGGGCAAATCCAGACCACCTCTGGCTGGAGCCCAGTGGGTAGGGGCATTGTCCTCTCTTGAATCCAGTAGCCAGTCTGGAGAGTAAATGTTTGAGACCACTCTTGCCTGGCTGGCTGTGCTGCATCTGATTTGGGGGAAGTAGAAGAGTCTTGGTGGCATAGTGGTTAAGCACTCAGCTACTGGATCAAAAAGTTGGAGGTTCAAATCCACCAGTCATTCCATGGGAGAAAGAATTGGCAGTCTGCTTCCACAAAAATGACAGCCTTGGGAACCTAGTGGGGCAGTTCTCTGTTCCATAGGGTAACTATGAACTAGAATAAACACAACTGCAGTAGGTTTGGTTTGGGTTTGGGGGTGATGAATACTATGAAGCTCTCTTCCTAGATCTTCATTATAAATAGACCAAAGCCATCTTTGAGGGACCCCATTCAAAGCTGGGAGGAAACCAGAGTCAAACATCTTTGCCCATTGAAAGATACGTTAAAATCTCTTTAAATCATTCTCCAAGCCCTGGAAGGACACGGGCAGGACAAGTGACTGCCCCCAGTGTCAAATCAGAGAAACAAGAGGATGAGGAAAGAAGCAGCTGAGGCCAGCCTGAGAAGGAGGGGTTACAGCAGCCATCTTAAGGGTGGGCAGGATCAGTTCATGAAATCCCCACCTAATTCCTCAGCTGTAAGAGGTCCAGAGAGGCTCTAGTGATGTGGAAATACTGTTATAAGTGGTAAACATGGGACCAGAGCATCTCCTCTGAAGAAGGAAATGGGTACAGGAAAGGACTCCAGGAAGACTATGGTTCTTTTCCCTGTCAACAGGACCTCTCAGCCCCATCGCACACCTCTGCCAGATTTCCCTGGTATCCCCTGAAGTAGACATGGTAGCCTTTATATTTGGTGGTGTGCCCATCCCCCTGCCCAGACTCGCAGGGGTGATGGACAGTCCCAAGAGCTTGGTCTCCAGCCTAGGCTCTGACATATGAGGCTCTGCTCCTCTGGTGACTGAGTTGTCCCAAAAGCTTCTCCTTCTTTCTCTCCTGGGTGGTTCTTCCTTGTCCTCCATCCCCTTGCTCACTCCTGGCTGTAAGCCCATCCATTTTTCCCTGCAAGTCAGTTCATTTTCAGGCCTCTTTTAAAGCAGAGGGTTGACTGTGCACAAAACCATTCAGAGTGAGAGAGAAATGCTAAGGAAAGTTCGGGACAGGGTAGGGTTGTAAGCTGTTACAGAGAATAAAACATATGTATTAAATGGCTGTGTACTGTGTACTGTGTACTGTGCCTGACACTGGGACAAGGGCTTTAACGGCACATCAATTAATTTACAACAAATGTATTGTCATCACCTCACCTCATTTTGTAGATAAGGAAACTAAGTTTGTCTTATTCCAGACCTTGCACCCTCAACCATGATACAGACTCATCTTGGAATGAGGGCTAGACTCAAAAAACCATAAAGTCAAAACCAAAACCATAACCAATTCTTGCATTGGTTCATGAAACAAGGCCTACTCTAAACCATGGATGGTTCAAGAGAATCCTCAATAAGGTCCATCAGCCACTCTACAGGCCTCTCCTCAGAGATCTCTCTCTCTCTTTCTTGGTTCTCCTCCCTCTTCCAACACAAGGTCTCCTAGGGACAGGGCTATATCAGTCTGGGGTCCTTCCCCAGCACTGCTGACACAGCTGAACCAGAACCTAGGAGGTTGAGGGACCAGGGTGTCTGTGAGTGAGGTGGGGAGGGGGAGTGTGGAGGGACCAGCTCCTCGGGTTTCAGTAGCAAGAGCTTCGGGTGTCTGGTGGGTTAAAAATATAGAGGCCCCAACTCAGGGTCATTTGATACCAGTGACTGAGGCCTGTTAAATCCAAAAGGCCTGAAGTCAGGGACTTAGAGGGAAGGGGATTGAGCAGAAAGTGGGAGCAGAGCATGAAAGAGAGAAGGATAGAGGGAGATAGAGAGTTGCAGGGGTGAAGGGGTGGGGGGGGGGGGGATAGAGGGGGATGGGAAGTACAGGTGCTAAGTGGGTGGAACTGGAGTGCCAGAAAGGTCTAGGAGAGCAAGCAGGAGGAGGTCTGGCTCTGTGGAGAACAACCGCACTGCTACTCACTTCAGGGGGTCTAGGAGATAATGGAGCAGGCCCAAGTCACCATTTAGTCCCATGTCACACCTGTGAGGGCACAACAGGTCAGATTCATGTTGGAACATGTTTCTGGAACTACTGTTCCAATGTCTATGTCCAGTGTCCGTCCTCCCTCAGAGTGCAGCAGAAGTGGCAAGTCAGGACTGGGCCTCATTTAGGTTGTCCTGCTGGATGGCCCGCCCACTTCTCTCAGCTGTCTTCCCACTGGTGGAGAGGCTTGGGGCACAGTGTGAATGCCCCATGACGCCAGGAGATAGGGTTCTGAGTGTCTTCCATGCCAGCATAGCTCTGGCTTTCCCTCTTGGACCCTCTCCTGTCATGTTGTTGAAACAGTCTGTGGGTCTTTCAGTCATGCTGAGGGTTCACACTACTGAAGCATGCAAAACGTATTCCTCTAAAAGAATCTCATATCCCTTCCTGGTACAAAGTACATGCTGTCCCTCCAGAAAGAGAGATGCCTCAGGATGTGGGTAGGACCACTTCATGGTTTTCCTCCTACCTCAGTTTACCTGAAGGACCATGAAGAAGGTCGGTCCTTCCTTGTGAAGTACCCAGAGTTGAACTCATTGACCCTTCCCTCACTTCCAACCTGGATCCAAGAGGTGGTTAGAGTCTCCTCACCCCAACTCCACTTTGGACCTCAGGTACCCAGAATTCACCAATTCTTGCATTGGTTCATGAAACAAGGTGTACTTCATGTTTTCCACATGCTTTTTCCTATAGTTTAATCCCTAATCTTGGTCTTTTCAAAAGTATAGGCATGAATAGTAGCAATTCTCTCACAAAAAGATTACAGAGCCTGGGGAACTCGACCTCTCCACTGGCCGTCTAGAGTTTCCTCCAGAGCATGGAACCCAGAGGCTCAGGGCAGCGAGTATAAATGGTGGGCAGCAGTCACATGACTGTCCCCAGAGCCACACTCCTCACATCTAAGGCCTTGTGGTCACAGAACCCCCAAATTCGCATCTCTGCAGCATGGCATCTACGCCAGCAGGTCTCACTCAGCACACTGTCCTTTCCCTGCATTCCCGAGGTAGGAGTGTTGAGTGAAGAAAAGGAAACTGGCTGGAGCTGAGCCAGGTGGCCAGCCCTGGACATGGCTCTGTCTGTGATTCAGACAATTACCTCATACCCAGTCCACGTGCAGGGGTCTCTGTCCTACAGCCTGGATTGCACTGGTATTGCCGGCCCCACTTTCAGAGGATCAAAGAAACCTCCTCCACCTAGAGCGAACTCCCAGGTCCCTAGGACTTGGAGCCAATGCCCCAATTGTCCCCCTGTTGTCCTCTGTTATCAATTTAACCTCTGACCAAGAATGCCTCCTCCTCTCCACCCCCATTTCCTTCTCCCTAATTACCCCATACTTCCCCTCCCCCATTCCCAGCTTCATTTACCTCCGACTCATCTGGTCATATTTTTAGCTCCGGCATCTCTCCCTTTTCCTTTCTTAATATGGCGATGAGCTAGTGGGCCAGCGTGGGGACGGGGCTGAGGAACCCTGAACATTGGGGGAGGGGGAGGGAAGGAGCCGTTGGAAGCCTGGGTTAGAGATGAAGGAGGTGGGAGGATTCAGGCCCTCATGGATCTGTCCTGGCCTCAGAAGGTTATCCGTCTCTCCTGCCAACCACGGAGACATATTTAGACAGGACCAGGTGGGGGCCGAGAGGTGCCAATTTCAGGGGCAGCTCCGGTTCCCTCCCCGCCCCCTGCTCCTATTCCTCCTCCTGACCCTTTTTCTCTTGGCTCTTTCGGCAGTTTCTCCAGGACCCAGCAGTATCCTCTGGTCACTGCTCTGGGCCATTCCCTACCCCACCCCCACCTGGAGTCCCTTACCTTAGGATTCAGGATCCAGAGGCCCCTCCCCACCTCAGCTAACCTCCTTCTGGACCAGGAGACTGAGCCAGAGCCCACTACCTCCATGAATACCACAGACAGGATGGGGGCCAGAGCGATGCCGGCTCTGCGTCTGACACTGCTGCTACTGCTGGTGCTAGGGGCACCTCAGACCGGGGTGCAGGGGGAGGACGGGCTGGACTTCCCTGAGTATGACGGCGTGGACCGGGTCATCAACGTCAACGCAAAAAACTATAAGAATGTGTTCAAGAAGTATGAGGTGCTGGCGCTGCTCTATCACGAGCCCCCCGACGACGACAAAGCCTCACAAAGGCAATTTGAGATGGAGGAACTGATCCTGGAGGTGAGTGGTTGGGGCCTGAAGAGCTCTCCAAGCTCGGTGCTCTCTGTGGGCCCCCAGTAGCTCTCTGAGGGTGGAGTGTGGGATGAAGGGCAGTGCTGCGGGAATTTTGGCCAACAAGATGCAGTGGCATGTGCTCTTGGCCAAATGAGAGCAGAGGCTCAGGAACCCCAAATACCACCATAGGTAGGCAGCTGAGGGGACTGCAAGGGGATCTCTCCTCCATGCTTTAGGAAGCTACGACTAGGACTAGGACGGGGATATCCTTGGCAGAGGGGAAGAAATGAAAAGGTAGGCACTAAAGGCAAGGGGGCACTGTAGTGCAATGTGTGGCCTCTCTACCCCAGCCCACAAACCACCTCTCCTAGCCAGAACATGTCCTCTCACAACATGCACATTAGAACCCAAACTACGTATCAGTTTAAATGTTATTGATCTTATTTGCATGCCACTTATATAACAGCAAAACGTTTCAACATCTCCTGACACCACGAGGCCTCCCCTTGCCTTCCCTGTGGCCTCTTTCTTCCTCCTCCACTCTAATTCCCCATCAGTCCCTATTGGATCAAATCTGATGCCCAGATTGAAAAATTCTGTGGTTGACAGAGGCTTCTGAATGTCTTTCCCATCATCTCTTTGTGAGAAGAGTTTCCCCAGCCCCCATGCTGACTTCATGCTGAAAGGAGAGAGGGGTTATTGTAAAGAGAAGAAAAAGCCCGTGTTTGGGAGATGTAATTCCACACACCCACTAGGGCCAGGGATGTGTCTGAGAAGTGTGCTTGTCTGGGCTTCTATGGCCTCTACTCCAGTTTTGTGGTACAGAGAGGCCTTAGCTTTCCAGAACCAGCAGCATTTCAGGGTGAGGCACCAGGATTGTGGGCCTCCCCTTTCTGGCCCCACTGACCCTCACTAAGAGCTGAAACTATGCTGTGATTAAACAGTTAAGTATTTTTATTCTGAGTGCTCAGGATCCTGGGTGATCCACCTGCCAGTCATCCCCTCCCATCACCCTGAGCAGCACAGTGCAGAGTCTGTGTGGAGTAAAGCTGGAAGTCTGTGTGGGGTAAAGCTGGAAGTCTGTGTGGGTTAAAAGCATGCTCAGTGCTGAGTGAATTAGGGTTGAGGCTGAGCTGGAGGCTTATAGTGGCAAGTATCTCAGGGTGTGACTGCCCATGGCCTAAGGACAGTCTGAGTAGAGAATGAAAGGGGAGCAGTCCTGGAGAAAGCTGAGCCCTAAGTGTGGGAGAAGGGAGGGAACAGAGTGGGGAACTCAGGGAAACTCTGCCCTCACAGCAACCTGGCCTTCCCCAATCCTCAAAGCATGAGCAGACCCCCACCACGTTCCCTCCACCACCCTCAGGCATAGGCCTTAGTCTCCTGCCTTCCACAATTCTTCCCGTTGGAAGTCACTCTGAAGAATCCCAGTCATTCCCACCCTGAGTGTGGCCTTGACCAGGATGGTGTGCTGGGCTCAGCCTGAAGTATAACACCGTAACATTTAACATAATATGCACATTGTATACAAGCATTAAATGTTCAAGAATGAAAATTAAACTAAAGATTAACAAGGTAGGGTTGTAGGGAAATTGGGAATAATCTGGATCCTAGCAAAGGGTTAAAATCAGCTCAAATCTTCCCTACACCCCAGTTGACTTAGCTTGAAAGCATGAGATGGGGAATAAGGGCTAACATGAATTCCAGGAGCTAATTTTCCATCCCAACCCCTCCCTCCAGTTAGCAGCCCAAGTCCTAGAAGACAAGGGTGTTGGCTTCGGGCTGGTGGACTCTGAGAAGGACACAGCTGTGGCCAAGAAACTAGGTAAGGGAGTGGGGGAGGCAGGAAGGGAAGTTGGTGTGAATGGGAGGGCAGAAGGTGAATGATGGGATCCCTGGTATGGTGCTGTGGGATAAGCACTGGACCACAACGTCGGTTTGAACCACAAGGTTGGCAGTTCACACTCACCAGTTGCTCTTCAGAAACTCTATATAGGGTCTCTATGAGTTGGAACTTAACAACATGGTGAATGACTGAGCAGACAGTCGATGGGAGCTAGTCTGAAAGGCGGGAGTCAAAAGCTGAGATGGGGAAGGTATGATTGGGAGACTTGGTCTCTCCTTTATTCCTTACAGAGACCCATATGAAAATTCCAGAAATCATGGAGGGGAGGGAAAGGGTAGCAGGGAATACAGAAGGAGAGGAGGAGAGATCTCTGCAAAAATCATCTTCCAACCATCCCCCTCCAGAGCTGACGCAAGGGGTTACAGCACCCGACCGCCAGGGGGCAGCACAGGCTTGAGCCTGGACCCCAGATATGGATGGGGGAGGGGAGTGGTCAGCAACAATGAAGTCATCTAGACAGTAATAACCTGTTGTGTCCAATCTATTCCAACTCATAGCACCAGTAATAGCCGAGGGTTAAAGAGCTGGACTGGGAATCAGTTACTTGAGTCCTCAGAGCAGGTAATCTGAATATCCATCTACAGTTATGGCAGACAGAGAAAGGAAGGAATATTGCTGGAATCTCTACCTCCTGGCTCCCCTATTAGGTTAGCATCCTGAGCTAAAGCCAAGGCTTGGACATCAGATGTGTAAGGGGCAAAGGACAAGGGAAGTAAGTGAGTGTGGCAGGACAAGGGAGAGGTAGAGGTTGTGGGCTTGAGAGGGACTGTTGTCATTGGAGGGGGTGGGTTGGATCCTTGGATCTGCAGGAAGGTTGGGATCCTGGCTCACCTTTGGCCCACTCCCTAGGACTAACTGAAGAGGACAGCATTTACGTGTTCAAGGGAGATGAAGTTATTGAGTATGATGGCGAGCTCGCAGCTGACACCCTGGTGGAATTTCTTCTTGACGTGAGAATTCCCGTGGACCTGCAGGATTGCTTTGACTTCCACCCATCACCCTTTAAGTCCCCAACACACACACACCCTCCATTTCCTCAGCCCTCTTCTCCCTACACTCATCTCTGGTTCTCACAGTCAGGAGAAAAAAATCACTCCCTTCCTTCAATGTCCCTGCTCTTCCAGGTGCTAGAGGACCCTGTGGAGTTGATCGAGGGTGATAAAGAGCTTCAGGCATTTGAGAATATTGAGGATGAGATAAAACTCATTGGCTACTTCAAGAACAAAGATTCAGAGCGTGAGTAATCCTCAAACTCCCAGCCTGAATTCCCTATTTTATGGCCCTTCCACCTCTCCACATTACCAACAGCTCTCTATCCTCATTTCCTGCATTGCTTCTTCTCCCCACCCTGCTTTACCACCACCCCCCCTTACTGATCACATCCCCCTGTACTCTGGTTATTTCCCAGGCAGACTCCCAACATCCCACCTTCCCTCTACTGCAGCCCTACTATGCAAGGGGACTTCTGAAGGTTCATGGAAAGTTCTCATTGTCTTTTAATTCCATTTCCACAAACTTTGAAGCACCCCTGGTGTCTTATCCACTACAGAGGATGGGGGTGGATTCTCAGGATGAACTTCTCCTCACCCCCAGCCTCTCAGGGCTCCTTACTCACTCAAGTCTGCCAAAGAAGAATTACAAAGAGGTAGATGGGAGATGATTCCTTGGAAGACCCTGGTTCCCCAGAAACTGACTCTTTATCTCCTCTCAGATTTCAAAGCCTTTGAGGATGCAGCGGAGGAGTTTCATCCCTACATTCCCTTCTTCGCCACCTTTGACAGCAAGGTTCTCCACCCGTGGTTCTTTTGGGCCTCCCTCACTCTCCTATGCTGCCCTCCACCCACCAACACACTCCCAATACCCCCAACCCTTTCTGTCCCATAGATTTTAGAGCTGAAAGAGGCTTTTGTTTACCTAACCCACTTCTCTCATGTTGAACCCAAACCCAGAGAAGTTAAGAAACTTACCAAATGTCACAGTGGCAAAGACAAGACTAGGACCTACTTCCCTGACTCTCTTCCCAGCATGTGTTCTCCCTAAATACTGCTTCTCAAGCATGCTCCTTCATCCCACCCCCACCCCCCACCCGCTTCACTCCTCCCTGCCCTCCACCCATGAAGGTGGCAAAGAAACTGACCCTGAAGATGAATGAGATTGATTTCTATGAGGCCTTCATGGAAGAACCTGTAACCATCCCAGACAAGCCCAATAGCAAAGAAGAGATTGTCAGCTTTGTAGAGGAGAACCGGAGGTGAGCTTCTGGGGGCTCAGTATGCTCCTTCTTGGGCTAGAATGTTCATCTGTGACATGCAGCCCAGCAAACAGCTGGTCCTGCCCAGAGATAAATGTGCTTCTGGGAAGCATTGCTCCTTGATACGCTGAGAATTTTGCAGAATATTCTGCAGCCCAGTACTTAGCCCCAAGCTATATACAAAGAAGGTCCTCCTTGTTGTTGTTGTTGTTAAGTGCCACTGAGTAGATTCCAACTCATAGAGACCCTGTACAGGATTTCCAAGGAACAGCTGGTAGGTTAGAACCGCCAACCTTGTGGCTGACAGTCCAGTGCTTATCCTACAGCGCCCCACCAGGATCATCATTCATTGTGAAATTGTGATTTACAAAGTCACCACATGAGTGCTTTCTGCTTCTATTATTATATTTACTTCTTTTAACAACCTCAGTTAAAGGTGTTCCATAAGTAGTGTCAGAACTGGGATGCTAACCAAGTCTGTCCCATGTTTGTCCTCATAGTTTACTTTACACAGGTGGTTCTTAATGGGGAGAAAGGGTTGAGATTTTGCCCTCTAGGAGATACTTGAAGGTCAATGTCTGGAGACATTTTCGTTGGGAGAATGTTACTGGCATCTAGTGGGTAGAGAGGCCAGAGATGCTGCTATATACCCTACAATGCACAGGCCAGACCTCCACAACAGAATTGTCTAGCTCAAAATGTCAGTAGTGCCAAGATTGAGAAACCCTGTTCTAAACACACACTCGATTCCTTCACACTCCTCCACAAGTAGAGAGATGCCCATTCAACATGGTGAATGCTACTCACTTTCACTTTCCAACTAGATTTGGGTCCTTCTGGCCTGGCAGATCTCATGTTTGCCTTGTTCCACTCTGCATACACAGTGCCTAACACAGTGCTCACAACATACTGTGGCTGTGACGTGCCATCGAGTCGGTTCCGACCCGTAACGACCCTGTATAGGGTTTCCAAGGAGCAGCTGGTGAGCTTGAACCACCTACCTTGCAGTTCAAACGGCTTTGCAGTCTGATGCATTAGCCCACAGCACCACACCAGGACTCCTTCAGAACATATTAGTTGGTTGGTTATGTGCTGTGGAGTCAGTTCCAACTCATAGCAACCCTGTATAGGGTTTCCGAGGCTATAAATCTTTACAGGAGCAGAAAGCCTCATCTTTCTCCTGCAGAACAGCTGGTAGTTTCGAACTGCTGACTTTGCAGTTCACAGCCCAATTCATAACCATTGTGCTACCAGAGCTCCTTTCAGAACAAATTGTTGTTGTTGTTAAGTGCCGACGAGTCGATTCCAACCCATAGTGACCCTGTATAGGGTTTTCGAGGAGCATCAGGTGAGCTTGAACCACCTACCTTGCAGTTCAAACGACTTTGCAGTCTGATGCATTAGTCCACAGCGCCATACCAGGACTCCATCAGAACGTATTGTTAAGTGTCGTCGAGTCGGTTCCGACCCATAGCGACCCTGTACAGGGTTTCCAAGGCTGTAAATCTTTACAGGAGCAGAACGCCTCATCTTTCTTCCGCGAAGCAGCTGGTAGTTTCGAGCTGCTGGCCTTAAGGTTCACAGCCCAATTCGTAACCACTATGCTACCAGAGCTCTTTTCAGAACATATTAGGCACTCAATATTACTGAATGAGTGATGGAATATATAAATCGATGAATACGCATATGTCCAACTTTCTCTCACCTTTCTCCCAAAAGTCTCTCCCACAATCCTTTGCCCAACTTCTCTTCTCCCACCCACTTTCACTACGCAATGATCTGGGCCTGGTGGCCAGAGCTTAGACTTTGTCAGTTGGCTTTGTTCTGAGCTACAAGCTGTCTGTGCCCTGGGCATGACCGAGAGGCAGACTCTATCATGGGGACCCTCTAAAGGAGATTGCCCTTCTCACTCACTGAGTTGTTAGACGCCTTCAATTCCAACTCAGCCACCCTATGTGACAGAGTAGAAGTGGCCTATAAGGTTTTCTTGACTATGATCTTTCTCCCAGAAAGCCTCTGGGTGGGTTTGAACCACTAACCTTTCTGTTAGCAGTCAAGTGCTTAACCACTAAGTGACCTGCTATGGTCTCTTCCAGATCAACCCTGAGGAAACTGAAGCCTGAGAGTATGTATGAGACCTGGGTGAGTGCCTCTGGCCAGGGCCAGGCCCTCAGGGGAGATTGGGTTGCTGAGGACTCCAGTCTTAGAAACATCCCACCCTCTCCTCCTCACTGCCTGCTGTAGAAAGCCAGTACATCAGCAAAGGCTGAAGGTTTTCTATTCTAAAGACTGTATCAGGAATTGGGAGGCAGACCTAAGTGGATGAAGATGACAAGGGAAGAGACCCAAGCTCTGGGGCTAAAGGGAGTTCCAGAGGAGGTGTGGGGCCCTGGAGCTGGAAGGGGCAGTGTCACGTGGAAAAGGGTCACCACACCACCACAAAAGCATACCTGGCCAGAAGCTGGATTTCCACAAAATTCAGGTTCGAGGAAGGTCTAGGGTCTGTTCTGGACACTTCAACTTCAGGGAGTATAGCTGACCCTCCCTTCCCCCCAACAGGAGGACGATCTGGATGGGATCCACATTGTTGCCTTTGCAGAGGAAGCTGATCCTGGTGAGGGAGGAATACTGGACAAGATTGGAGAGGGGATGGGCAGACGTTGTGGGAGAGATGGGTGTGCTGGTTGGAGCAGAGAGTTTGCAAGCAGCCTGGGGCTGAAGATAGGGAATCGTGGGAGGCAGGGAACTAGATCTTGACTGACTCCTGTTTCCTCTGCGCCTGATTCCTCTCCACCCTGCCTCATACTTCTCACTTGTTTTCCTTCCAAGATGGTTATGAGTTCTTAGAGATTCTCAAGTCTGTGGCCCAAGATAACACTGAAAACCCAGATCTTAGTATCATCTGGATTGACCCTGATGACTTCCCCCTGGTAAGAGGCTAACAACCTGCTCATGTGATGTCGTCTTAAGGTAGGACCTCAGACTAGGGCATCTTCTGAGGAGTTTGTTTCTGAGACACTAACCCCATTTCCTATCTAGGGGTCCTTGGGAAGCTATGATGTTGCATGCTTAAGGACACAGTGGGCATTGAGGTATCCTAGGGTGGGAGAAATAAGCAGGAAAGGGAGTTGCTTGGGACAAAACACATGGTTCCCAAAGCAGGGACTTGGTAGGTACCTTGTGTGCCCAAAGCTGACTCCCAGATAAAACTAGAGTTCTGCTAAACAGATGGGCTCTCTGCATATGAGTAACACACTCAATCATATAAGATTCCATGTCTCAGGGGATAATTTTGTACCCAGCTGAATCCCTAACACTTAGCACTCATTGTTGAATGAGTAACTGAATGAATATTCAGAACTGGGGGGGAACATGAGCTTTTTTTAGAGATATAGAAAGTGAGGGCCACAGAGAATTGACTTGCCCAAGATCCAAAGGTCAGTTAGTGGCAGATCCAGGATCCGAACAGGGTTTCTCATTTAGTTTTCCTCAGGAAGGGAGGAGCCAGTGTCCCCTCTTGATACTTTTCCTTTGAGATTTCTACTTTTCTGCTGCTCAGCTCTACCCATTCCCTTCAGGCCCTACGGCTGGATTCATTGACATCCACTGTGAATTCATAATGTCCCCTCTTTAGCCTTGGGCTGACCCTCACATTCACCCTTGGACTTAATGTACTCCTAGACCTCACTGAGTTGTGGTATTTGGGTCTTTCTACAGCTGGTCCCATACTGGGAGAAGACGTTTGACATCGACTTGTCAGCCCCACAAATAGGAGTCGTCAATGTTACTGATGTGAGTTCTCTCCCCTCATCACTTTTGGCCCCCAGCTCTGCTTCCCAGCATAGTTAGTTCTCCTCTGCTCTGCTTAGTAAGGATTCCGTCCTTCCCAGAGAAATAGGCATACCCATTCTAATGGCTGGATGGAGGGGACAATTCATGACCTGAACACTCCTTGCATCCACCTGTGGGAACCTGTTGCTCATCTTTCAAGACCCAATTTAAATCTCCTCTCCATGAAGTCTTTCCAGATCTCTCATTTGAAACCATTCCCTCCTTGGTCCACTGGCATCTAGAACATGAATTTTATATGGTTTTGTTATGTATCAGGTCTGTCTCTCAAGGTAGACTTTGAGCTCTTTGAGAGCAGGAATCTTCTTATGCACAATGGTAGGTGCTTCAGAAATATTTGTTGACTTTAATAAGCTAATCTTGGCTTTCACAGAATTCTCGATCTTAAATGGGAGGCAGATATAGATTTTATTAACTACAAGGCCAGATATAATCAGCTTTACATAATAAAGGTACAAATAGGAAAACACAGGAGAAAAAAGTGGTTTCTGCTTCAGAGAACCAGAGAAGTAAGTTTAAGATAAGGGTGGGGAATTGGCCGGCCTTCAGGTTGTATAAAGTCCACACAAACATTGGTCTGGTCCTGCCAAGGCAACCATAGTTCCAGCCATCACATTTGTTAAATACCGTGGAGTCAGTTCCGACTCATAGTGACCCTGCACAGGGTTTCCGAAACTAAATCCTTACGGGTGAAGAATGCCTCATCTTTCTCCTGCGGAACTGCTGGTAGTTTCGAATTCTACCGACCTTGAGGTTAGCAGCCCGATTTGTAACCACTACGTTACCAGAGCCATCACATTGGTTATGTGCCATGGAGTCAGTTCTGACTCATAGCAACCCTGTCCAGGGTTTCCGAGGCTGTAAATCTTTACGGGAGCAGAAAGCCTCATCTTTCTCCCGTGGAACAGCTGGTAGTTTCAAACCGCTGACCCTGCGGTTCGCAGCCTGATTCTTAACCACTACGCTACCAGAGCTCCTTAGAGCCATCGCATTAGGGGTGAGTTAATGAAATGTTTGACCAAATGCAGCAGTCTAATTGTTAATTTGATAATTTTGTGTGGCCTGTGAATGATGTTTTAATTTTTAGCAGATAAAAGTTTCCTTGTGCCTGGTTTAAGAGGGTGTAGCACTTAAAATGGATCCCAAAAAGCAGAGGCTAGGGAGAGTTACTTCCAAACTAAGCCTGAGCGAAAGTTTAAACAGGAGAGGTTTAAGAAAAGCTAAGTCATTTTGTGTGGTTTGAGAGTGCAGTGATTACTGAAGATGCTATTGGAAAAGCAGGCCATGGAAAACCTTGAACGGTGAAGAGTTGCTGGCTTTTATTCTAAAGACCATGACGAGCAGCCTATGGTTTTGTAACAAGGGCATAATACAGAGGTCTGTTTCAGGAAACTCAGTATGGCAAGAGCATGGATGAAAAATTGAAGGGAGAAGGTCTCTTTGTCAATCCATCCTCTCCACTCACTCCACAATCTCTATTCTAATACGAGGGGACTTCAGAAAGTTTGTGGAAAAATGGAATTGAAAGAGAACAGAATTTTTCCATGAATTTTTTTAAGCCCCCTTGTTTACACCTTCACCTGGACAGCTTCCTTGTCCACAAAGAGAAGAAGCGATGTTGACAAGTGAAAGAATACATAGGACAATGAGTAGGAGGACAGATCCAAAGACCCAAGCCATGCCTACTTCTGCTCCCTGTCCATGTTATCTCCTAGGCGGATAGCATCTGGATGGAGATGGACAATGAGGAGGACCTGCCTTCAGCTGAGGAGCTGGAGGACTGGCTGGAAGATGTGCTGGAGGGAGAAATCAACACAGAGGACGATGACGATGATGACGATGATGACGACGATGATGACTAGTTGCTGTGGCAACCATCTTCCAGTCCAACCTGCTTTCCTCATGCTCCCTCCTGCCTTCCTGTCCTTCCCTGAGCTCCTCTGGGGACACTAGGCCATCCTTCGTCATAGGGCCCATTGGGGTCTATGTGCTGGTGCTAAGACTCTGGTCCCCTTTATCTGATGAGGAAAGGAGCTGCTTTTCTCTAGATGTCAGCCAAGCCCTCTCATCTGACTTGGGTTTCTTGTCTCATCATTTACCAGCAGCATCTATTATTTGTTTCTTCCTTTACTCTCTACACTCTCTCTCCTGATTCTCCTCTTGTTGTAGCTACAGGTCCCCGTCTCTCCTGTTATCCCCCTCCCTCACTCTCTCAAACCCTATATCCTGACTGTCTGTCTGATCCCTGGCCAGGAGGAAGGGAGGGTACTGTGTTTGGAGCTGTAACACAGCAATCTCTTGTTAATGTATTTGGGTCAAATGAGAGGCCTCAATAAAGAGATCTGGGGCAGCATAAGCAAGTATCTGTTGATGAGGTCTCACCACTTTATAGGAGGGGAGGGTACCAGTGTGGAGGGCTTTGGGTGTGAGTATCTCCTTAGGAACAAGCTCGGGACTGTGATAGCAAGGAGTTGGGGCTCCCTCCGGGCACTCATCCCAGAGAAGCTTGGATTATTTATCAGTTTCAAGTCAATATGCCTATTCTGAGCACATGGTGTTGGTCCAGCATCACTGTTAGGCTCTGGGGGAACACAGTGTCAGGTCTGCCTGTGCTCTCCAGCCGAAGTCAAGACAATCACACTTAACAATGGAAGAAAACTATGAAGCCGCATGTAATTATGTGATTATGCACTGTTGGCTAGCACCCTCCCAGCAGCTCTTGAACTTCAAGACTTAGTCCAAATGGCACTTCCTCAGTAAGGCCTTCCCAGAGCAGGCCCCTCCAGACAGGCCTCTCCTCTGGGTTCCCACTGCTTTCAGACACCTCACATATACACTCAGCACATTCTATAAGGGTCTTTCTTTACATATCTGTCTTCCCCACTAGCCTATGAACCTCAGGAAGGCAGAGTCCCAGGGTTTTTCTGTACCCACAGGGCCTGGCTCTCAAAAAGTTCCTAATTAATGTTTGTAAAAGAAGGACTGAATGGAAGAGCAAAATGGACTCCTAAGAGAGAGAATGGACGGGTAGCTTCCCGAGAGAAGTGAGTCTTTTCTAGGTCTTAAATGACAAGTGGGATTTGACTGCAGCAGAGTTGGGGAGGGGACTTTTCAGCGGGTGGAAGCATCAGAAGCCCATGTACCTGTCATACTAGGGACACAGAGATGACCAGAGAGACAAAAAATTCAAGTGGTAATAGTGAGGCTGCGTGGGCACACGGGGCTGGCTTGTGCAGGTGCTTAAATTTAATCCTCAGAGCTAGGGGTGGGTTGCAGGCAATGTGACTCTGAGGAAGGGAGATGAAGAGATACTAGAAACAGAAAGTTCACCTCTTACAGAGTCTGCTGTCAAGGGGAAGGCAAGAAGACTTGGACTGCTATAGGGGCTATGGAATAGAAAGAGAAGATTGAGGTTTATATAATGGGAATCCTACTGGCCTGGGTCCTGCAGGGGGTCCTCACAGGAAGGACCCTCAGTCTTTCTAGGATAGGCCCAGGCTGGGGTAAATGGATAGGAGTTGGAGGGAGGGGGAACCAAACAGCTAAACAAGCCCATAAATAATACATATTACTTTTTGTGGATTGGGTATAAGGGTTGTTGGGAGACTTGGAGGATGTCTAAGTATGGAAAGGATGAGACCTGAAATTTTAAAAATATTCATTCTCCATAGGCAAATCTAAGGAGTATTCTGAGATAAGGCTGCAGGGGTATAGAAAGTATGCATCTAGCTTGTACGCATATAATAAATATTTAATAAATAGTATGGGAGCTGAGCTATTCTGGAACTTACAGTCTAGCACATTGTTGTTGTTAGGTGCTGTCCATTCGGTTCCCCAAGTACAACAGAAGTAAACACTGATCTTGCACCATCCTCACTATGGTTCCTGTCTGAGTCAGTTGTTACCCCACTATGTCAAGCCATCTTCATCTTTTCTGCTGACCCTCTACTTTATGATGGAGTCCTGGTGTGGAACTGTGGGATAAAGCACTGGACCACAAGGTAGGTTTAAGCCACAAGGTTGGCGGTTCAAACTCACTAGCTTCTCTGTGGAAACCCTATACAGGGTTGCTATGAATTGGAACAGACTCAATGACACTTAACGACAACTGCTTTCCGAAGCATGAGACCCTTCTCCAGGGACTGGTCCCTCCTGATAACCTGTCCAAAGTACATGAGATGAAAATCTCAGCATCCTCACATCTACGGAGTATTCTGGCTATATACCTCCACCAACACACGTCTGTTTCTTTTTCTGGCAGCCCATGGTATATTTAATATTCTTTGTCAACACCATAATTCAAAGGCATTCATTTTCTTCAGTCTTTCTTTTTTTTTAAAGTGTGGTGAATTTTTATTCTTAGTGAGTAAAATGTAAACAATATTGTTAGAGGTAATGTATGGAGAATATTTTAGGCCAATAAAATAGAACATTTAAAGTTTTAGGGACCAGAAAACACATAGTGCATTTAAAGACTGCAAATATTTTGAATTAATGGGCAAACACTGTTACCAAATATTTGAAGTGACATTAGAAAAGTTCCTGAAAGGCAGTTTCCTGAAAGTTTATCTAGTGAATTATACTTTTTTGGAAAGTTCTTGGATACCTTAAATTCTTCAGTCTTTCTTATTCATTGTCCAGCTTTCACATGCATATGCTGTTGTTGTTGTTGTTGTTGTTAAGTGCTGTCCAGTTGGTTCCAAGCCATAGTGACCCTACGTAGAGTTTCCAAGGAGCGTCTGGTGAGCTTGAACCGCTGACCTTGCAATTCAACCAGACCTTGAAGTCCAGCACATTAACCCACAGTGCCACACAGCGACCTTATGCACAACTGAACAAAACACTGCCCGACCCTGCGCCAACCTCACAATCATTGCTATGCTTGAGCCCACTGTTGCTGCCACTGCATTATTCCATCTCATTGGGGTCTTCCTCTCTTTTGCTGACTGTCCACTTTACCAAGCATGATGTCCTTCTCCAGAGATGTGTTCTTTCCTGACAATATGTCCAAAGTATGAGGGACGAAGTCCGGCCATCCTGACTTCCAAGGAGCATTCTGGCTGTACTTCATCCCACATAGGTTTGTTTGTTCTTCTGGCATATGAGGTATGTAAGCACACCTTAGGTCAGGTTTACCTTAGTCCTCAAAGTGACATCTTTACTTTTTAACACTTTAAAAGAGATCTTTTACAACTGATTTGCCCAATGCAGTATGTTGTTTGGTTTCCTGACTACTGCTTCCATGGGCATTGATTGTAGATGAAAGTAAAATTAAATCCTTCACAACTCCAATCTTTTCTCCATTAATTGTGATGTTATTTACTGGCCCAGTTGTGAGGACTTTTGTTTTCTTTATGTCTGGCATGTTGCTGTTAAGTTCAGTCAAGTCGTTTCTGACTCATAACAACCTTGTATATGGTTCCCAAGGAGCAGCTGATGAGCTGAACCACTGACCCTGCGATTCAAACTGACCTTGCAGTTCAGTGCTAATCCTACAGCACCACACCAGGATTCCATGTCTAGCATACTATTGTTATGTGCTGTGGATTCGGTTCTGACTCATAGCGACCCTGCATAGGGTTTCTGAGGCTGTAAATCTTTACCAGAGCAGAAAGCCTCATCTTTCTCCCACAGAACAGGTGGTAGTTTCGAACTGCTGACCATGAGATTAGCAGCCCGATCCTTAATCACTACGCTACCAGAGCATAGGTGAGTGAAAAGCTCTGCACTAAACAGCTCCCATTTTTTAAAAATGCCCATCTGTACTTGTCACCAAACTTTATTCCAAACCCTCAGAAGAACCCTATAAGACAGATATTGTCTGCCCCAGTTTACTGGCAAGGACAGAGAAGGTTAGAAAGGAAGGTTTCCATGGAGGGAGTGGAACCAGCATGAAGTCCAAGTCTCCTGTGTTTTGTTGCCTCTGGAAGACCTGACTCTTCCACTGAGAAATTACACGACTTTAGTTAAGTTCTTTAGTGTCTCTGAGTCTCAAAGATGAGTCGATGAAATAGCTCTTGACCCCTTACTTACACAGGTTGTTGTAAGGAGTAAGTGAGAGATAATACACAAATTATGAAGCTATGTTATTCTCCTGACAGGAGCACACTGTGGGAGATGATGTCAGCCCAAAGTAGCAGGGGCCTGGAAAGGAGGCCCTCAGAGAGATCGGTGAAATGGTTTGTGTTCTACCTAAAGGTTGGCAGTTTGAACCCACCCAGTGGTCCCATGGAAGAAAGATTGTGGTTGTTAGGAGACATCCAGTCGATTGATTTCAACTCACAGCGATCCCATGAGACCAGGTAGAACTTCCCCATAGCATTTTCCAGGCTGTAATCTTTATAGAGCAGTCCTGGGGTGGCACTGTGGATTAATGGGTCAGACTGCAAAGCCGTTTGAACTGCAAGGTCAGCAGTTCAAGCTCACCAGCTGCTCCTCAGAAACCCACTACAGGGTCGCTATGGGTCGGAATCGACTCGACAACACTTAACAACAACAACAATCTTTATAGAAGTCGCTGAGTTCAAGTTGCCAACCTTCCTATTAGCATCAGAATGTTTAACCATAATGCCACCAGCCCTATGGAGCAGTTCTACTCTTTACCACACGAAGTTGCCATGAGTTGGAATTGACACCATGGCAATGGGTTTGTTGCCTTTTAAACATTTTTTTGGAAGAGGTCTCTGAAAGATGGAACTGAAGTGAAGCCAGTGTGTTCCCGGAAGTGGTCTGTCTGCCAGTTGGCTTCTCTCTTCCCAGGGTCAGGCCCTGCCAGTTGGGGAGAGATCCCTTGGGCTGCAGCTTGGGGTGAAAACAGATGCTTCCCCAATTCTTCCTTCCCTCTTTCAGTCTGGCTCAGACTCTGGGGAGGAAAGTCCCTAGGGTGGAGGGGAAGTGAGAACTGCCATGCTAGGCCTGGCTAGTGAGGCAGAACTGGGAGACTAAGTGTGGCTTTGCAGGTTGCCTATATTTGAGTAGTGAGCTCACTGCTGCTTGTTTTCGCCCCAGAAAATAAAATGACGTCATGGTGAGGGGAAGAGAGAGGAAGGGTATATTATGGAGAGCTGAGGATCAGAAGAGGGGCCATGAGTGAATACCTGAGACCTAGGGAGAGAAGATCCATGGACCTGGATTTAGGGAAGGAGGTCCCCATACTGCATTTCATCCCATCCCTACCTCCACCCCAGAAAGAATTTAAATTTCATCAGTAATTCACAATAACACTAACCCACAAGGAGATTATCTGGTGAGAAAAGTGGTTTTTCCAAATACCAAATCAAGCAACCAAGAGAACTCAGAGGCCAAAGGCTTCCCAAGCCCCTCAATCTACAACTGACTGTACTCCTTCTAAAGTTCCAGCAACCGTGGTCATCGAAAGGTCAAAAGGGGAACAACACATCCTTTTAGGAAGGAATTAAATCTGAGAAATGGAACGCAAAGTTCAGGGCGAGGCAGTAGCGTCCCCAGGTAGGCGCCCCTCCAGAACCAGAGCCCCTCGGCTCCCCCCCACACCCCCGCCCCTCGGGCACTCCTCCCTCTACCCTCCCCCTGCCCCTCCCCGGCTCTGACATCACGGCCGAGTGGGGTGGGGTGAGGCGGCGCTGGGCTCGGGCTCGGGCTTGGCGAGCGGAAGAGGCGGCGGCTGCAGCGACAGAAGCAGCGGCGGCGGCGCGAGCCAAAGAGAAGGCTCTGGACCCTGGTCAGGAGCCGGGGGATCCCGCAGTGCCCACGTTCTGAGCGCTCAGCCCCGGAGGCGGTGAGAGGGGTGGAGAGACGTGTCGTGGGGAAGGGGCAGATCTGGGGTCCGGTCTTGGATGGGGGTAGGTCTAGAACGCGAGGGCCAGCTTGGGAACGTGGGGGCCCCGACGAGACTGTGTCTCGATTGGTGCGCCCCGGGCGCGGATTGTGTGCTGAAGGCGGTGTGGCTTCGGCCGCCCATTCCACGCGGAACGGCAGTTTGGAAGCCGGTCCGGGGCCTGGGGATTAGGATGGAGCCTGCTTCCCGCCCAGCCGGCTCTGCCGGACTACCTCCCGCCCCTCCTTCCTCTCCTCTGGCTTCGGACTGGCCTTCTCTGACCAGGCACTCTCCCGGCCCAGCCCTGCCTCAGGCCCTCCGGCATCATCCCCTACTCCCAAGGCTCCAGAGCAGCTCTGTCACTTTGTGCACCTGGACAAGAGGTGGGAGAGGCCAAAGCTGTCCGTCCAGACTAGGAGAAAGGAGCTGAGCAGGGGGAGTAAAAGAGTGAAGTATCTAATATAAAACCTTTCATTAATTACATATAATCCATGTCAAAACTGACACACACACACACACCTAGAAGACACGCCAACACAGTGACACACACCCATGTGACTCTTACACTGTGTCTCGCACACACCTTATCCAGGCCCCCACCACACCCCCACTGCTTCACATGTGTGTCTCCTGGGAAGCTCCAAGAACACCAGTCTGATACAACCACTAAATAGGCAGAAGGGCCACTGTCCCAAGTTCACCCTGACTTCCTTTTCCCAAATCCTGACTTTCAGATTCCTCTCTTTAAAACAGTGGAGAAAAATAGGGGGAATATCGTGGTCGCAGTGTCAGAAGAATAGGGAGACAGGATCCTGAGGTTGAGTGAGGTGGCAGCATCTTCATTTGGATCCCGATGGAGCTTAGGGTGCTGGGAGTGACTCGTTTCTGAACATCAGATCAGAGTGGCCAAAGGAAGGAGGAGGAGGTGGAAGAAATGGAGAGGAAGAAAAGGAAAGAATGAGTATGAGTCAGCCAGGGATGAAGCCCAAGTCGGTGAGAGAGAATGAAGGGAATGTGTGTGAAAGGAAGACAGAGCCAGAGAGGGACAGAGACATGGGGAATCTGGAAGAGAGAGGAAGTGCTAGACAGCGGATGGTCAGAAGAGTGGGAAGGTGCTGGGGAATGGACCAAAGAGGCTTAGAAATTAGGATGAAGCAGGACTGCAGTGACACTTTAGGGAAATAGGAGAAACATGCCTCCTAACTGTATCTCATGTGTACCTGTGTGTGTGTGTGTGTGTGGTGTATGTGTCTGGCCCCCAGGCTGCCACAGCCATAATCGCTTTCATTGCTCTTCCCTTTGTGGTTACTGTGTTGGGGAAATTGCCAGCAATGCCCCAGGCTGCCAGCTTCCCTGGTTGCCATCTTCCTGGATTCTGTGACACCTGTGTCCATCATGTGTGCTTATGCTGCCACAGCCACCCAGCCCCCAGCCCTTCATGTACAATATCAGACATCTCCTACCAACTTGTATGCAGCTAAACACTGGACTTGCAGGACTCCCCCCCCCCCCCCCAAAGCAATCCCATCTCTTTTCACATGGGATGCTCACCCAGGGGATGCTGAGTTCTAAGTATTCAAGGTTCCCCAATTAGGATGAGTAAGTAGGAAAAGCTGGAAAAGAAAGGAAGAAAGGGAAAGAGGGGGACTTAGAGACTAGGCAAAAGGAGATGGAAGGAGTAGACACAGATATGGGAGAGAGACAGAAATAGGGGCAAGGAGAGAGTACCAGACAAGCCAGACAGAGGTGGGCTAGGGAAGAGTCAAGGTCCATCTCAATACTAGATCTCTAGTGCCCCTTTTTGGTCTGGCCCTTCTTAAGACTAATGGCTGAAGGTTTAGCCCCTGTCTGCATGCCCAGGAGTGACCCACTGTACTGCTTGGACTTAGTATTTTGGAGCTCAGGTGTGTTGCCACCCCTCATTCCCAGGCTGATCTAGAGACGCTGTGCCTCCTCCTTCCATTGTTGGACTAGAGACTCCCCCAAAGCTGGGAAGAAGGTGTAAGGGAAGAATTCAGTTGAGCATGACATTAAAAAGAAGCCTTGGCGCTGTTGTGTTGGGCCACTCCTTAGAAGTAAGCTGAGGCTGTCTGCTCCTGTGAAGATTTATAGCTCAGAAACCCTATACAGTTGACTTGACGGTGTACATCAAACCAAATGACATTAAAGGAAAAATTAGAGATGAAGTATAGAACTGCTAGAACTTGAGACCAAATATAATTTAAAATAGGGTGGCTAGAAACTTACACCCTCACTTTCTGCCCTTGATTGCCACTCCTGCTGCTCCCCCTTTCCATTCCCTCAACCTCCAGACAGCTTTTAAAAGATGGACTGACTGGAATGCCAACAAGCCCCTCAACCAATTCAAAGACATCCAGGTCCTTGCAGCTGTGTAGCATGGCCCCTCCCCTCAGCTTTAGACAGCTGCAGCAGATGTGGGGGTGGGAGGGGCAGCATTTCCTAAATCCTCAGGCTTCCTTCTCACTACTTAAATTTATTGAGGATTTGGAACCAAAGGCTAGGGAGAGGGGCTTCCCAGAGAACGTTCATGGAAATAGGGGCACTTCTTTGGATCTTGGACTTTAATGTAGTAAAAAGGGGCAGTATTTAGGGGGCTGCTGGTGGCACAAATGGTTAAATGCTCAGCTGCTAACTGAAAGGTTGAAGATTAGAACCCATTCCAGCTGCTCTGGGGAGAAAGATTTGGTGATCTGCTTCTGTAAAGATTACAGCCAAGAAAACCCTAGGGGACAGGTTTATTCTGTCACAAGACTTGATGGCACACAACAAGTGGCTTCATTGCTCATTCTCTGAGCGCCTCCCCACACCCCTACCACAGCCCCCAGCATGCCTCTAAGGCTTGTTTACCAGGCATAAAAAGGGGAATCACAATGACTAACCTACCAGAATTATCTCTACTTCTCACCTTGTGAGTGGGATTTTCAGGGCAGGCTGGACCTGGTCCCTTAAATAGAGGCTTTGTTGTTAAGTGCCATCAAGTCGGTTTGGACTTATAGCAGCCCTATAGAGGGTTTCCACAGAGGATGAGGGTGCCGCCATCCTATGAAAACCATATTGGTGGGGCACACCTCAGGGCGAGGGCTACCATGAAGTAATGTCGAAATACAGAACAGTTGTCTTGTGCTGCCTATCCTCCACAGGTAACGGTTGTCCCATTTTGCCAGTTTTCCCAAAGTGCCCCTACCCAGCCATCCTCCCAAGCCCTTCTCTAAAAGGTTAGAATATAATGATCTTTGCTCCTGCCCCTCTTCCCAGCCTCCTCAGTGGGTCCAGCTTTTGTCAGGGTTCTGCCTGAGAACAGCTAGGAAGGAGAGGAAGGAAGGTGTGAGGAAACGGTGAGTAGAGCAGAGAATGAGCTGGGAGGGAAGGGGACTGACTTCCTGGCAGCCTTGGCTCCGGTTCCTGCCCTGGTATCCTGTCCCAAGAATGGCCTCCGCCCAGGTTGCCTGCTGCTCCCTGGACAGTTCTCTGCACTGCTCCAGGGATCAGGGTTTTAGAGGCAGGAGACTTCTCCACGGGCCCTGAAGAATTCTGACTCTTCTGAGGAAGGTGACATGGAGGCTGAAGGAGCCGAATTTTGCTAAGTCCCAGCATGGCCCGACCACCCCAAGGGTACTGATTATGAGATTTGAGAGCCAAGTAAGAAGACTCCACCTCTTTACAGTCAGAACATTTATCTCTAAGTCTCCTGCCTGTGGTCCTTCTGTCACACCAGTACTGGATAAATGGGGTCTCTCCAGGGAGGGAAGAAACCAGGCTGACCTTTCCTTCCTCTCTCATAGGGTCTCTACCTCCTGTCCTCTCTTTTGACTCCCCACACTCCTCTCATCCTAATGGCTAGGCGACTTGTTGGGGGGGGGGGGGGCACCTAGAACTGAGGTTGCCATGGTAACAGCTGAGCTGAGGCTAAAGCCTTTTCCTCATGGACTGTGTGGACTGTGTGCTGTTCCCTGGCCAGCCCCTTCTCTCCAATCTCAGTTTCAACACCCCCTACTGGCCCCCCTCTCCCACCAATGGGTTCCTCATATGTAGTCTGTCTCTCCAGCTTTCCTTTTCCCAGCCCCAGCTCTCCCTCCATTCTGTCGACTTCCCTAGGCTCCCTTCTCTCTGCTATGTAAGCTCATGGCGGTATATCCTCTTCCACAAGCTTTTGCTGGCTCAGACACATACATATGCACCGTGGACACTCATGGCCACACACCCCCACAGATACACCACCCACATACCTACCACACTTCTTCATTGCTATTTACCATTCTCACCCTCATTTCTCCTAGGGGACTCCGTAATGTTTCACTGAAAGCTCTTATCCATCTACCCCACACATACACCAGTCTTTGTGGGTGGGTGTCTCATACACATTAATCCCTTCCCACCCACCTCCCCCGTAAGTGTTTTAGAATCAGAACCCTAAATTCTTACCTCCTCCCAAGAGATTCACACACACTTTACTCCCACAGGATCACTCATATTTACAAACTCTGAGTTTCCTTGTGAATGCTGGGTATGATAATCTAGAATTCTGCATCCCCCCCCCCCCCCCCCCAAGGACTTGGCCCCAGGGTTTCCTGCCCTAAGGCAGAGACATCTTGTCTCCTTCCCATGTGGTTTCTTTCCAATAATCCTCTCCTCTACCCCCAAACTCAGCCCCCAAGCTGACACCCATTCCTAAACTCTATCCCCAACCTCTCCTCACCTGCACCTCCCTTTTCAGTCCTTGGATTATCAGAAGGGTGGGGGGCTGAACTCCAGAGCCTGCTGTGGTGACCTAGATTTCAAGGCACAAATGGTTCCTGGTGCTGACAGTCACAGGGCATTGTTCCTAGCCCAGCTAGGCAGGGCCACCGCTGGGCCTTTCTGTCTGGTTGCACCTGGGTGTACAAGGGAGCCTGCTTCTTGCTGTGGGGTCGTGCTGGCCCTGCTGTCTGGCTCATTGTGTGTTTGTCACTGTGCCTGCCACCATAGGATGCTTGTTTGTTCTGGTCCAAGTGGGGGGCTGGGAATGGGTCTTCTGTCAGGGCCTCTTACTCTCTGGCGACATACCTTTCTGCCTCAGTTTCCCTGAATATAGGCCAGAAGGGGTATTATTAACTAGCCCCCTTCAGCCAACATAACACAATGTTGGGGAGCTTTGTAGACAGCCTGAGTCAGGTGCAAGTTCCTTGCTACCCCTTGGTCTTGCCACAGTGTTTGACATGCTGTATTATTTTTTTAATTCTTTACTTTTCTGACTATACAAGTATGTTCTCATTAAGGAAAATAAGTCCATTTTTTGAGCTCACCACTACAATTTCATGTGTATCAAACCCAGGTTCATCCTAAGGTCTGACCTTTCTTCCTGTCTTCAGCCACAGTTCCTTAGTGAGGGAAACGAGAACCTTGAACATTCTCTACCTTCTTGTCTAAGGATCTCTTAATGAAAGAGAAATGGGAAGGACCTAGATGAGAGCTGGCCTTGCCCATCCTTCTATGGGAGGCCATGCTGAAGCAAGTGCCAGCAGGGTGTTGACGCAGGAAGGGTGGCAGCCCCCTTTCTGCCAGACTCTCCCAAAGCTGCCTCCAAGCCCCCCTTCCCCTGCCACCCAGCCGGCCTGGGAACTGGGCAGGGGGCCAGAGCCAGCCGCTTGATATTCCTGGGCACAGGGGCTGCAGGCACAGCACAAAGGCTAGGAGAGAGGGGGCTGAGTGGGGGTCTGTAGTCATCGAGGGAGAAAATGGGCTCTATAAAGGTGGGGGTGGTCCATTGCTTCCCCTATCCCCAAGCTCTAATGACTACATCTAAATCCAAGGCTGAGTACGGAGAGGCCAGAGAACTATCAAACCACACAACTAGGCTTCCATCCAAAATGACTCATTAGTGAAGTGGTGGGGAGCTGACATGAGGGACCCCTTTGCTTCTGGGGAAAGATGGAAGCTAGGACACAGGAGCTCTAAATACCACCCCCCCACCCCTTTTTTTCCAGCTTCTCACAGCCACAGCAAGCCTCTTCCTGGTTGGTTTTTGTTTTTTTTTTTGACAAGGGGAGGGGTTGCAGATTGGGGGGGGCTTCAAGGCAGTGGGTGAGAAAAGTAGAAGCAGGTTGCTATGGTAACCACCTCCTCAGTCAGGGGAGCTGTTGCTATGGTTACTGTTGGGGGGGGGGAGAAAAGATGATGGGAGGAAGGAGGTGTGACTTGTCACTCTAGGCTCCAGCCTGGTCTAGTTTCTGAGTTCTTGTCTTTCCTTACTTCCTCTCCGTCCTCTAGTTCTTGTCCTTCCCACCTCTAGGCACATACCTGGGAGGGTGAAGTAGGTAGGTGGTGGGTAGGCCAGTGAGTGAAATGGACCCTGAGCCTCAAGCTCAGTGCCCTCTCCCTTTGCTGCCTTTTCGCCCAGTCATGGCTGAGTACGGGACCCTCCTCCAGGACCTGACCAACAATATCACCCTTGAAGATCTGGAGCAGCTCAAGTCAGCCTGCAAGGAGGACATCCCCAGCGAGAAGAGTGAGGAGATCACTACTGGCAGTGCCTGGTTTAGCTTCCTGGAGAGCCACAACAAGCTGGACAAAGGTGGGGGAGGGGAGCAGAGGGCACGGGTCTTGCCTATTAGCCTTTTGGGCTCAACTCGTTCAGCAACTAGAGATAAGCTAAAACTCCCCTATAGGAAGCACACTGCTCTGACAAGGTAGACTGAGAGACTAAGAGTATAGGGGCATCAGTGGTCTTTAAACATTTTCACTCTGCTCCTTGGTGGTAAATAAATGTTAACCAGATACTGTCATACTATTGAGTTCTGGTTGTGGCATTGTACGGTAAACATTGGACTGCTAACTAAAAGGTTGGTGGTTCAAACCCACCAGCTGCTCTTTGAAAACTATGAATCAGAACCAACTCAATGGCACTTAGCCACCACTAACCACACTATAATGTTGTGTGCTGCCGAGTCAGTTCCCACTCAGAAACTCTCTATAGGATCTCCATGGCTATCAATCTCTATGGGAGCAGAAAGCTTCATCTTTCTCCTGAGCAGCAGCTGGTGGATTCGAACTGCCAACCTTGCAGTTAACAGCCCAAAGCATAATCTACTATGTCACCAGAGCCACACACATAAATAGGACATAAAAATAGGAAAAAAACAAAACACAAGTTCTGACATTTTCTTACCTACTTTTAGAGACTGCTTGCCTGAGAAGAGAAGGGGTTCAGTGGATTAGAGCAGTCCTACTTAGCTGGGGGTAGTCCTGGTGTGGCATTGTAGGCTAACCACAAGACTGGCAGTTCAAACCCACCAGCCGTTCCTCAGAAACCCTATACAGGGTGACTGAGTAGGGACCACCCTGACTTTAGGGAGGAATTGTGTTAAAGGTGACCCTGAAAGATAAGTAGCAATTCAAAGGCAGGACCCAGAGGAGGAGACACTAGGCACAGAAACAGTCATGGGGATAGGGTGGCTGGTTTGTCTCAGAAAAGCTAGGCGTCCTGCTTGGCTTGGGAGAGCACAGGATGTGTACAGAAGAGGCTGGAAAGGTAAGTTGGCCGTGTTGTGGAGGGACTGGAGTGATAGGGTTAAATCATTTCTGTAGTGACTTGATAGGTGTTGAGTGACCTTCAGAAATACTCATCCGCCTGTAATATAAACAGGACGAAATGAGTCCTAAAGACAACAGACACATCACAGTTCCAGTAGTACGAGTGTAAGAGCCAGGAAAGAATGTTTCTCTACCTGACACTGACCAAGCCATGAAGAACATCCTTCTGGTAGTGTCTGAATTATCTGTCTCAGCTAGTCCCAGAATCTCTTCTGTGTTGTCCCACTCTTTCAGTCCCACAAATGTGAAAACTGACACAGTAAGGTGGAAGAGTGAGAAGTAGATGTGAGGCATTGGAAGGCAAATTAATCTCACCACTCCCAATCTGCTGTGGTGGGACCTGATGTTGTTATGTGCTTTGGAGTCGGTTCCGACTCATAGCAACCCTGTACAAGGTTTCCGAGGCTATAAATCTTTATGGGAGCAGAAAGCCTCATCTTTCTCCCGCGGAACAGCTGGTAGTTTCAAACTGCTGACTGTGAGATTAGCAGCCCTATTTGTAACCACTACACTACCAGAGCTCCTTATGGTGGGACCTGATAGCTAATCTAAATCCACTATCTAGAACCTTTGCTGATCGACTAATTGCCCTTCCTAGGGCCAGCTTTCTGTACTGTGATCTGTGTGTGTGCCTCTGCTTTCTTATTTGGGCTCAACAGCCCCTTCTTCAAAGTGGTGTCCGCTCCTGATTACCAATGTGTGCTACTCAGCTTTGGTTCCAGAGTCCTGCTCTGGTCGAATAGGGGAAACTGCCCCCATTGCTTATCTCTGATCTTTAGGTCTCCTGCCTTCCTCTAGACCACCTCTCATACATTGAGCACATCTTTGAGATCTCCCGCCGTCCTGACCTACTCACTATGGTGGTTGACTATAGGACCCGTGTGCTGAAAATCTCCGAGGACGACGAGCTGGACACCAAGCTAACCCGTATCCCCAGTGCCAAGAAGTACAAAGGTAAGAGACCAGGCCCTGGACACAGCTGCATCTCCTTATCAAGTTATTTTTGGGTATTTGAGTTTTTAAGAATGGTGGCTGAGGCTCAACAGGCCTACCTAGCCTCTCTCACTTTACTCTTCCTGGACACATCCCTTTTTGCCCCTAGACATTATCCGGCAGCCTTCTGAAGAAGAGATCATCAAATTGGCCCCCCCACCGAAGAAGGCCTGAACAAGGGTTCGGGAGGAAGAGGAGGAAGGTTGGACCTTCATCGGACCACTCCTTTCCCCAATTCACCAAAGGAGGGGAGCAAGGGCACCCTCCCATCTACCCACTTACTAACCTGGTCCTAACCCCCTTATTGTGCGCGTGTGTGTGCGTGTGCGCACGCTCTGGCTGTGTGTCTCTATGTCTAGCTCATCTAGTTCCTCGTCCCTGACAGGGGCTGGGGGGTTTAGGGGCTGAAGGAGGAGAGCTTAGTTTCCCCACACTAAGGGTAGGTAGAGGCTATTTCTATGCAAATAGAAATTGGCACATTCCTTCTCTTTTTTCTTTCCTCCACTTTCCCCCCACATCTCTGAAGTGTGGGAGCAGAGAGCTAAGGTGGGGGCAAAGCATGGAAGAAATAGTGGGTGTAAGGAAAGCCAGTGCAGAGGGAAGTTGAAGAGGCCACCCAACTCTACCTGGAAGGGGCAAGGAAAAGCCAGAGATCAATGTTTGGAAGATTCAAGTTTACAGATGTTCCTCAGGTTGGAGGGTCTGGGCACCAGCAGGTCCCTTTTTTGGTCCTCTCTCATGGGCTGAGGACAAGTATGAGCCAAGGAGTGAATGAAAAAGGACCCACTACTAGATCCTTTCCTGGCCCCAAAGATCAAATCCCACGGAGCACCTGACACTATATATACACACCTCCACCCCACAACCACCTCTGCTCTGGAGAGACTATGCACCACTGAGCCAGAGGTGGGGATGAGGGTCGAGAGAAGGACCTCTTTTCCATTCCTTTATTCCTTCTCAGACTGTTGCACATATTGACCCTGAATCTAGGGAAGTTTAGGAATAAGATCCTTGGGTTTAAGCCCCAATCCAGTCCTCACCTTCAGAGTCCCAATGTGATTATTGCAGGCAGCCTTCCCTCTCTCCCTGGTCTAGAACACCCTTGGGTTAGAAAGAAGGGAAGTAGTTAACTAGTTTTTCTTTGCACTGACTGATCCCCAAGCCAATTCAATCCAGGATGGGATGTGGTAAACCCTTCTCCCCTGAAATCCTGGCTCCTTGGGCTTGTGGATGCCTCCTAACCAAATCACTATAGTGAGTGACTCCAGCCTCCTGCCTGTCCCAAGATGCCCCTCATTACCCTGACCGTGCTAACTGTGTATACATATATATTCTACATATATGTATATTAAACCTGCACTGCCATGTTTGCCCTTCTTTGTGGTGTCTAGCATTAACTTATTGTCTAGGCCAGAGTGGGGGTGGGAGGGAAATGCCACTGTGAAGGGAGTGACAAGTCAAATTACTACATAGTTTAAAAAAAAGGCCAATAGTAAACTAAATTCATACTCAGTCTCAGAGGTTATTTAGAGAACGTTTAAGTCAGGAGCCTTAAGGATATGTGAGCAAAACCTTAGTAGGAGAGGTGGTTACAACAGTAGCTGTTGTAAGAGGGAAGAAGCCAGGTATGTTGGAGCGCATACCCCACTCATAGCCCAGCCTAGTCTGCCTATCCCCTCTGGCCACTACTGTGGACACCTGCCTTAACACACATACTCCACAGTTTTGCCTTAAATGACCTTCCTAAATTATCCCAGCCCTGCCTGGCTTCTCTCTGAAAGGAGAAAGAACATGCTTGCAAGAGTGACAGAAAGCGTGAGCATGTGAAAGAATTAAGAGCCTTCCTGTGAGGAGTCCTGGTGTGGCTTTGTAGGATAAGCACTGGACTGCTAACTGCCAAGGTTGGCAGTTCAAATCCACCAGCTGCTCTTCAAAAATCCTATACAGGATCGCTGAGTCGGAACTTAAAGTGAGGAGAGCAGAGGATGAGATGGAAGAGATGGTCATTTTCAACAAAGTCTAGTAGTTTCCCTGTGAGGCAAAATAATCTTAAAAAAAAAAAGACTAACCAGCCCTCCCCCACATTGTACTGCTATTGAGGATTGCTCCTGTCCTACGTTCCTGTTTCCTGGTCTAACCCTGGAATAAAGGTGACTGACTGTACTACACCGAATTCACTCTGCAAATTCTGTGAACAACCAGAATTTTGGATGGCTGGGAAGGGAGGGAAAGCAATTTTTATCCCCACCTCTTTCATGGCAGGGACCAGGAAACACTTCAAATCGTATCCCACTGCTATCCCGTAAATATCCCTATGCTAAATGTTCCACTTGTAACATCTTCAATTAGAGCCCAAGCACTGGAAATATGAGTAGCTCAGACTAGACTTCCTATAACTGTAGCATGGGTAGGGTGAGAAGGCAGGGCCAGGCACCAACACTGAAAGGAGCACAAACACACACACACACAAAGCCCATCATGAATGAATGGCCTACACACAGCGCAATAGTCAGGAGGAGGGAAAAAAAGCTTTACTGAAAGAAAATACAACAAATCTCAGAGTGCATGGTTTTCAGCCCACGCATCACCCCACCAGCTACAGGACACAGACCATTCAGTCACCACACATTCCCAACTTCAGGGAAGGAGTGCAGCAGTTAACATCTTGTCTGAGAGCTGCTAGGAACTGGGGCAGGGGTAGGAGTGTCTAGGAATACATTGTTTTTTCACTCTTTTGTTTCCTAGCCTGATCTAATAGAATCCAAATGCCCCAGGATGCAGACTTCCTGATTGAATCTTATGAAGGTTGGGGGCAAAGCAATAGCAGCAAAAGCATTTAAGGGCAAGAAATCCCCTGGGACTTTTACACTCAGTGACCAATAATACAAGAGGTGTCCACGCCCCAGCCACCCAAATTAATATTTAGGTTAACTACTTGTCCTTCAATCCCAAAATATCAAGAGGTGGACAAGGTGTAAAAAGCCAAGCCTTCACTCCATTAGGAAGGGAGCTGCATGGCTTCAAGAACCAAGTAGCTAAAGCTAAGTGTGTGGGTGTCTTCTGTCACAAATATTAGGACAGATGCAGTGGCGGCACCCTCCTCAAGTCATAGTTCAGTCAAGTTTCACAGATGGGCGAACATCTGGGAAGAAGCAGCTTCCTGGGAGCCCCTTAATGAGACTTAAGGAGAAGTAGGAGATCTGATGCCAGGAAATGAGAGAAATCTCCTTTTTCCCAATCCCTAAAATCAAGACAGGGAAGGGAAGAGGGATATATATAATTGGGGACTTGGGATTCTTCCATTTTCTAATCTCCTAAAACCTAAACAGCAAGTCCCCATCTCCAATGGCCACACCATAGAGGGTAGACTGACCCCGGATGTCACCTCCACATCATTACTCTTGTCCAACTCTCTTAAAGTCCCTTTATTGCATTCATAGAGAATATATAGATATTTAAACTTTGACAATAACTTTAACTTGATATATCCAAGTTTGACTGGCTTTTAAATATATTTATAGATAAAAAAATTAGGCCTCTAACAGTAATAGGGATAGGGAGATTGTGGCCACCACAGACTTGTTTTCAAGTTAACAGATGTAACTTCTTTTCTATTCTTTCTCCACCTCTATCTCTCCTCCCGCTTTCCTCAACCTCCCTCACCAGACCTATTTGGGGGGGTGATGGGATGAAGAGAAGAGAGTGAAGGATGCACAATCAAGTGCAAAACACTGTGATAAGTACAGAGAATGAGGTGAAAAGGAAAGTGAAGGGTGTGGGATGGTTAGGGGCTCTAAGGACTTCCCAGAAAAACAGGATTATGTGGTGGGGGAGCTTGGGGGAGCTAGACTTTCTTTTTTTAGAGTTTAAAAAAAGAAAGGAAAAAAGAGTCAAAAACTAAACCAGAGAGAGTGGCGCTCTTACCCCCAGCTCTGTCCCCTTGGCAGTGAACAACCATTTGTCCTTCTGCCCCCCTCCCCCCCCGCCCAAGAAACAAGGGAAATTAAAGAAACTCTACTCCCCACCCCAAATAGTTAACAAAATTTAGGCTCCCCACCTCCCGCTGCCTCCCACCACCCCACCCCCCCCCAAAAAAAAAAAAAAAAAAAAATTCAGGGGGGAATTCCTCTTTTTTTTTTTTTTTTTTTGCTGAGTCCTATGCACCTTTCCATGGAACCCAATCCAGGGGTCAACTCCTACTCCTAGGTACTCTGTTAATGGTTTGTCCTTCTCCTGGGATGTCTGTCTTTTACCTAAAGCAAAAAGTCCAAAGTGCATTTCTGTTGAATGTTAGGGCTGCCCAGGCAGGACTGGGTTGGTGGCCCCAGCCCATCCCTCCTGGCGTGAGGCTCAGGACGGCATGCACTGCACCCGGTCGGGGCCCTCCTCCTCGTCCGATGTGTCTGAGGAACTGGGAGACTCATCCGAGTCTGCATCTGTGGCCCCAACCCCAGGATCTCGCCAACGCTGTGGGATGGGAAAAGCCTGTTAGGTCTTAGCCAGAATTCAGATGTCCTAGGACAGGGGTCAGCCAACTTTTTCTTAAAGAGTTAGATGGTAAATAGTTTCGACTCATACATAATTAATATCTGCTGCAACTATTTTTAAAACTCTGCTGCAACTGTCTTTGAGACATGAAAGCATTCACACACGATTCATAAATGAATGAGTGTGGCCGTGTCCCACTAACACTTTATTTACTAAAACAGGTAGTAGATTTGCTGACCCATGCCCTGATGCTTCTGGTATGAGGAAAATGGAAAGCTTACCCCAGATTTATTCTCAACTACTTCCCCACCCTCGTGCCTTTGCCTTCCTGAAGGTAACTGTGTGTGGCAATGGAGAACAAGAAGCAAACGTGACCCTCTATCAGGGCTCTGACAGAGATGAGTAATGATAGATAGCAAACCCAACCAAGACCACTTGATCCCTCCCCCAAATAGAGAGGAGGTGTGTTCTGGACCTTTTCTTACCCTCTCCAGAGGGTCACTGCCCTGGGGAGACGCTCCCTTCCCACTCAAGCTTACCCGATGATGGCGTCTCTGCCTCAGGTGATGCATGAGGAACCACAGCATGTGGCTATCAAACAGGTCAGGGTGGTGCAAGCTATCTTCATCCCGCTCCCGCTTGTTCTTCTTAATCACCTGAAACCCAGAAGGGTAAGTAAGGGGCAATATGAATAGGAAGAGGAACCTTGAACCTATCAGGAAGGCTGGCATTGTGTCCTAATAAAAGCTTCCCTTGGAAAGCCGTTATGCTGAAGTGTGGTGGTAGTCTAGGAAAAGATGCTTCAGGTGCAGCCCCTGAGAAGTTTTGAAACAGATGAAATAAATGATTCTTCCTAAAGATGTTCCCTAGCCTCATTCTACCACCAACTAGAAGCATGTCTAAACTGTCTCCTGGACTGGGATGTTTCTAGAGAGGCAATGACAAGAATGTGGGGGAGGGTTAGGGCAGTGCCTTCAAAGAACTAAGCAATAAGCTATTCCTGCCTATGACCATAGAGTCATAACAGGATGTGAATAAGTAACAGAAAAGAACTTCTGTAACCAACTTACGTCCTTTAACCCTGTAAGCTCAGTAGAAGATTCAGCTGTGGGTGCCCAGATCTTGACATCATGGTCTAGGCCACTAGTTGCCAACACAGGCAGGTGAGGGTGTGGCTCAAGACAGTTTACCTGGTCAGAGGAAGTAAAAGCATAGGTTCAAAGCTGTGTGGAACAAGAGTTTAAAAACCATTTACAATAGTCAACAAACTGCCCTTGATTAGTGCTGATACAACTGATAGAAAGGCAAGTCCAAACATATTAGCCTATGCCAAAGGAACTCCACATAGGATCTCCCATTCATCATTTTCTATCTTTAAGTCGGGGTTGGCTTTAACTCTATAAACATAGCCTTAGGGATGGCTAACTGACTGGCCAAGCAGGCTTCACAAGAAGGCAATGAGGTCAGTTGTTAAATGCTATCAAGTTGGTTCCGACTCATAGCAACCCTGTATAGGATTTCCAAAGGAGTGGCTGGTGGGTTTGAACCACCAACCTTGTGGTTAGCAGTCCAAGCAATGAGTCCTGATGACCTCATTCACTCTAAATTCCAAAGCTCCAACTTGCCCAAGGCTGGGGGAAAAAAATGGTTCAGTAACTTACCAAGTGGCAAACCATTTTAAAAAAATGAAAGTAGCAGCTGAGCCCTGAGAGAAAATTCAAAGAACAATTATATTTACATAAGGCTTTCTGCTGCCATAAAGAGTTACAGCCTTGGAAACCTTATGCAGTGTCACTATAAGTCACAACCAACTCCACAGCATACCACCACACTAGAATGTGAGACACAGGCTGGGAACAGGAGGCTGTACTGTGATTAAGGGAGCTCTGGTAGCGTAGTGGTTACGAATCGGGCTGCGAACCTTAGGGCCAGCAGTTCGAAACTACCAGCCGCTCCGCGGGAGAAAGATGAGGCTTTCTACTCCTGTAAAGATTTACACCCTCGGAAACCCTGTACAGGGTCGCTATGGGTCGGACCCGACTCGATGGCACTTAACAACAACAACAACAACATATCTACTTCAGGACCCTATCCATTCTAGAGGACAGTATCGTGCTACCTGCCCTGAGAATACAATATGTCCAAGCAGTAGAGCAGCATGGAATAGCATAGTGCTTCTTGGGAGCTTCCAACAGCCTTCTCCGTACATTCACTGAGTATGAGAAATGAACTGTGCAGGCACGCCTTTTAGCTCAGACAAGCGTTCTTTAGTCCAAAGGTACCCATGCCCCCTGCTGTCTAACTTGCAAACATCAGCTTCCCTTACATGGGCTGAACAAGGCAGGGCAGGGCAGATCCCTACTAGAAGAGCTGGTCCCAGATCAAGCTGCTAAAAGCATTTTCAGGGTTTTAGTCAGATGAGAACAGATAGGAAAGGAACTCAGAAGGAAAAAGGTGTGGTCCCAGCCACTCCTCACCTTATACCACCAGTGTTGAAACTGTCCTGTAGTCCAAAACTAACAATTATAAAACAGCCTCTGGCAAAAACCCTTACACTTCTGTATCTGGACTACCCCCAAACCCTATATGCACACACAGAAAGCAGCTTAGACAAAGCCAGAGGCAGGCATAGGAAATAAAGTTTAACTCATACATTTCCAACCTTATTTGGCTTCCGTTTTGTAAATAACCAAAAGCTTTTAAAAGACTGAAATTAAATCCACGCCTCAGCTACTACCTATCTAGGCTCTTTCAGGCAGCAAGGAGGAGTTTCCAGCGTCTGATCTCAGAGCATGAAGCAGTAAACAAAGATTCCATTGCTTGGGAATATTATCAAATGATATGTGACAACACATATAAACCTAAACTCACTGATTAATACCCTGATAAACCTTTGCTCTATCTCTACTGCAAGCTAGTGGTGCTTAAACAAGTCAGCAAAAAAAGCACACGGAAACAATTCCTTGGAACTCAATGGCAAAGAGGAACAACCGAATTACATACAGTGCCAGAGACAGAACTGGCAGAAAACACAAGAACAGATCAGAAACTCTTCCGGGGACGCTGTGTAGAGGCATTCAAAATGGTCCAGCGTTTGACATACCGCCGTAGGCTGTCCTACAATACAGCCTCTAACAAAACTAGGCTGTCCCGAACCCCTGGTAATAGAATTGTTTATCTCTATACCAAGAAGGTTGGTAAAGCACCAAAATCTGCATGCAGTGTGTGCCCAGGCCAACTTCGAGGGGTCTGTGCTGTGAGACCTAAAGTTCTCATGAGGTTGTCCAAGACAAAGAAACATGTCAGCAGGGCCTATGGTGGTTCCATGTGTGCTAAATGTGTCCGTGACAGGATCAAGAGTGCTTTCCTTATTGAGGAACAGAAAATCGTTGTGAAAGTGTTGAAGGCACAAGCACAGAGTCAGAAAGCAAAATACATAATGGAGCTTTGTTGAATAATAAAAAAGGTCAAATGTCTTGTTAAAAAAAAAGAACAGATCAGAAACTGTCTAAATACCAATAATGTCTATCAACAGAACTCTCACCTAAGAGTTCTAGGTTATGGGAATGAAAGGAATGGGATAAAACAGCCAAGTACTTTTGGAAAGCTAAGGAGATGTCCCCTTTGACATACCACCACCCTTGCCCCTGTGAAGATGAATAAAAACCAAGCCAAAAACAGCTAGGAGACTTGGGCGAGATGGATAGTAATCTCTAAGATCCCTCTGGTTCTAGCATTTAATTTTATAATCTAGAACTGTTATAAGTCTACATTGAGCCTACTGTCTGGTGACTCCTGAGAGGTTAGGCCAAAAACAGAGAAAACCAAGCAATGACCACCACATGGATCATTCAGCTTACACAGAGGCAAAACCAAGTCAGGAAACTCGCTTCAGGGTGTACTCTCTATACCTCTTTGTTCTAGTGCCTCACTCATAACACCTCTATGACATAAGCCTGGGCCCACCCATCACAAGCCAATTCCCTCCCACTTTGAGCACCTATATTAATCATCGAACACCAGTACTGGTTGAACTGAAAGGAAACTGGCCTCAGAGTATCTTTGGAGAACAGCCAAACGCTGGCCTACATCTCTCTGGAACACTATGTAAGACAATAGTTAATGATCAAGAAAGGGCCTTTTAAATTTTTTCTTCTTTGAAGAATTCTCATTAGAGTTCTGTAATGTTTTAGGTTTGCTCACTGCAGATGATACAGAGGGACCTATTTTAGAGGCCCTTAATGGAAAAGTAGGAAATGAAGCAGAAAAGAGACACACCTTGAACTTCTAGAATCCTCTCCACTTGCATCAGGCCATAGAAGCCCTGAATCTCCAAAAAAAAAAAAAAAAAAACTTAAAAGAAAACCAGAATAAAATTCTGAAATAGTCTCTAAGGCAAGAAACACACAAGAAGAACTGGGATCCTGATTACAAGGACTCATTCTAAATTCTAAAGTCATTCTCTGGATAAACGTCAAGAGATGGCCAGGCTCTTTGTGGCTCCCCACAGCTTAGAAGAAATGGAATGGAAAGAGAGACCAAGCTGTCTCAGCAGTTCCTTAGAGGTCTTAGTATTATCTTGGTCACAATATCTAAATTTCCCAAGTTGTCTCTCACATCTTCTGGGGTCCAGAAAACTTACCACAGAAAGCTACTGATCTCCTTTTAAACTCAGTCTCAAAAAACAAGCATATGGTTAGCTAGATACATCTAACGAGCTTACTACTTTTCACAGTATTACTTAGGATCCCCACTCTTGCTTTTTGCCCCATCTTCATAAAAGTTGTATGCAGAATTCAAAGAAAGAAAGATTGTGATATAAACATGAATTGTACAGCTGGCTAACAGTTCAGCTATTCATTTTTAAGTCACACTTTGCCACATACACAATATGTAAGCACATTTGAATATAAACAGGACACTTTACTAATTCAATCACCACACCAAATAAATTCAACACTGAATATTATCTAATGTACAAATTATGCAATGATTTTCCAATTGTCTTTTTAAAAGTTCCTTACAGCTTTTAGGCCTTAATCCAAGATCCAGTCAAGATACTCTTAAAGGATGTAACATGGAAAGACACTTTTGTTATTGTGTAGAAGGCTATGCCATGACCTACAATGCTTTCCTTTTGGAAAAGGTCTAGAACTAAAAATAAGTTAGAAGTTCTTCCCTAGGATCCCTTTCTTTTTTCAGTAAACTAAGAGGGACAGAAAATAGGAAAAGGGAGAAAGCACTCCACCAAGACCTCAGCACTCCTCGGCTACATAACCTTTTCATTTAGCTGGCTGGACTTCTAAGAAGGCATGATGCCAGGTCACAAGGAGAACTCAGAGGCCCTAGTAAAACCCACCTTAAAGACTGGGAGATGAAAGGAAGTCAGCCAGCCCAGCACACCATACTTACCACACCTCCCTTGTCCCCCTCCATGAATTGAATGATCTGGCAGGATGATTTCTCCCAGAGGAAGATGTGCCCGCAGTCACTACCGCTCACCACAAACTCACTCTTGGGGCCATAGAAATTGACACCTTTTACTGAAATGATAAATGAGGGGGACAAACCACATGAAAGGGTTGGCATTAGGTTTCTCCATTATTTACCTCATGGAGAATTCAGCTATTCATAGACTTTAAATCAGCTGAGAACCAAAGAATCAGTTTAATTTTTACAAAACAAATGAAGAAGCTGTGCACATATAATAGTTACAAGAAGAATTGCACAAGACCCAGCAATGGCTTATATTCTATAAGAGCTCCATTGGGCTAAAGAGTTTGCAGTCCCTTAGCAACAGCTTCCATCTGATGAGTCCGTACCCATCAGGCAATCAAAGGTCTCTTTAATGCCTTCCCTGTCCCAACCTGAACTGTCCCAGCTTTGCCAACTCCTAGGCATCATTGTCCTAGACCTGAGAATTATCCTTGGCATGTGTACTTCATTGGTTCCTTTTCAATGTTTCTTGGGTCACTGGCTGACCTGAGTCTGGCACCCATACGCAGCAGCATCTCAACTTTGCTTGCTACCAGAATTCCACTCTTCGGAGTTAGTGCGAGAAGCCAAAAGCCCAAACTACAGGTAATCCCATACTTGCTATTAAACTGGTACCCTTCCTTTTGTCTGCCAATGGACTGAGATCCAACTACAAGCTTTTCCCTCTTTCAAGTGCAAGAGAAAAAGGAAAACAATCCAACTGTTCTCTTCCAGTCACATTTATGAGCAACATTGGTTAACAGTGTTAACACCAAAGAGCAGTAATTCCCTAGCTTCCATGCACATTATAACTTTAAAAAAATTCTGAGGTTCAAGTCACACCTTCATGCCAATTAAGTAGAATGTGATAGAGTCAAGCAAAGTTTGGGACACAGAACAAAACAGGCCAATCTTCACTGTACCTTGAGCTAGGTAACCCCATCATTCCTCCTGTCTTGCTCACTCCCTATTATATAGGTATTTCGATACTATTGACTAAAGAGGGCTTTCTCTGATTCTATAATGAGTCTTTGTACCTATCCTGAAATTAGAATATTTTTTTTAAAAAACTGAGCTAATCTAATTTTCATGTGCACAAGTCAATTAAAAGCAACATCACATTTCAGTGATGCAAGTCACTCTTGAGCCCTTTAGACACAGTAGACCCATGAAAGCTTCAGGCCAATAGGAGATAATAACCTCTTACTGCCCCCGGTAACAGGCACCTACTCCTTTATGTAGCTCATATTTGCACAAACTGAAGGAGATAACTGTGGTTCTTCCAAGAAACAGATTTGGGCCATAGAGACCTAGGAAGACAACCTCACCTGTGGCATTATTTCTGTGGCCCTTATATCTTTTAACATATTGGGCCCCATCGCTGTGTGATGAGTTGAAGAGGTAAATGTCTTCATCATTGTAACTGGCCAGGAGCTCTGCCAAGAACAAGCACACAGCAGTGAAGGCAAAGGCTGAAAAAAGCCGGGATCAGGAGTTGGGGTTTGGGGTGGGGCTTCTTTCCAGTAGTGCCCCCTCCTAATGCCCAGGTATGATAGCACCCATTTTACTCAGAAAGGCAGGCAAATCAGGTTGTCTAGGATAGGCTAGGAACACACTGCCAATCTAGGGGTAGCTGAATGCTCAGGAAGATCATACCTATTAACTCGGGAATGAGTCAAAGGCATAAAAACTTGCTCATGCAAGTAGCCCAGGCACTAAGATCCTGTCAAACATCACCTGCAGCATTCTGCAAGTGGTGCATGGCATCTCCAAAGGTCAACTAATGCATCCTCCCGCTATGTGCTCACCATCAGCAACTATGTCCCAGCTGCTCCACTTGGAGCCATAGCACAGTGGTGAGCTCTGGAGGGCACATACCTCACTGGCTCAGCTGCTCCCCAGACAGAGGGGGCATGCCAGCCTAGGAGCTGGGCCCTGCTCACGTACCTGTGCCGTCGTGGCTGTACACAAGACAGGTGATGTTTGCTTTGGACTCACTGTTCACCTGCAATAAGGAGCAGATACTGACTGATGCCCCACCCCCCCATTTGTTATACCACCTTCAGGAAACAGGTTTTCCTTCAAAGTCCCCTATTTTTACTCCATGAGTTGAATGACAGGAGTATAGCCAATAAAATGAGACCACCTCAAGGGGAAGAGTCATAGGGATTTCTGTTGTTTGTCTTCTGTGTGCTAGACATTTTATATATAGATAGATAGATATACTATCTTGTTAAGGCTTCACCTTCATGGTGCAAGGCAGTTATTATTTTGTCAAAAAGGAAACTGAGGTCAAGAGAGGTAAAGTGACTGCTCAAAATCAAATCTGAATTCAAATCCAGGTGTGTGACTTGAAAGCTGAAGCTTTTCTACCACACCAACAAGATCAGGGGCAACCGTGGGGCGAGTCAGGGAAGCTTGGAGTCACTGGCCCTTCGTGAATCTTACCAGGTGATGAGGACAGAATTTCTTGAGTACTCCATTGTTCTCATTCTCATCAATTTTCCTCTGGTCATAAATCCTGTGGTGAAGAAGCAATGAAAATGTCTCAAAACTTACAAGTTGATCCCCTGAAGAGTTGCAATTCAGTATAGTAGCAGGAACAACAGCCAGCTAGAAGTAAGGGCAAAAAAAAAAAAAAAAGGTATTTCCCCAACCAAGTTTCTGGTTCATGTTCTTCCTCTTACTTGGAAGGACCTCTTTTTTCAATGCCTTTCCAAATCCGAACTCTTCCATCCTTTCTATTTCAAATGGAAATCTTCAATTTTACCAGGTTCAAGTGATTTTTCTCACGTCTCAATTTTTACATTACTGGTTTCTTTTCCTTTCACTAAAGTAACTTTAGAGCTTTTTTGTACATGTTCTCTCCCTAGTAGGGTTATTACTCAAGCTTTATGCAAATCAGTTAATCTTCATTTAATCCATCCTTGAAATCTTTTTATTTGGCTAATTCTCCCTCTCATATCTCAAAACTATTATAAACCACCAACTTTCCCCCTAAGATTGCCTCTCCTCCCTTTAGTCTCATCAAATAGGAAACTCTTATCCTTCCCTCTTCTAACCCAAACTTCGCTAAATTAAACCTCCATACAAATGATACACACATAATGTGTCAAGTATTGTGCTAGGTGTTTAAAGTACAGTGAAGACCAAAATGGATCCAGTCCCTGTCCTCACACATAAATTCATCCTCTAGTCTCAGAATCTAACTTTCCACAGCCCTTTTTTTTTTTTCACATTCATCAAATCATGTACTTTGCTCCATTACAATGACTGCAAATCGTCCATGTACCAACAGTTAACAGCATTTACCTCCATTCACTTTAACACTGCATTCCTCCCTGTATCTCCCAATACCTGCAAGTTTCCTCTGCAAATCTCCCTATAACTGTATATTGCCTGCCCTGTCATCCACGTTAACATGTGTCTACCCTCTAGCTTGTGAATAGTTTTCCTTCCCACTTCCCTTCTGTCCGGAGTCCTGGTGTGGCACTGTGGGTTAATGCGCCAGACTGCAAAGCCATTTGAACTGCAGGGTCAGTGGTTCAAGCTCACCAGCTGCTCGTTGGAAACCCTATACATGATCGTTATGGGTCAGAACCGACTCAATGGCACTTAACAACAACAACCCTTATATCCATCATAGGTTCATTTATCAAGAAAACCTTTTCTTTTTATAATATTGATCTCATACAATATTTGTCCTTTTGTAATTGACTAATTTCACTCAGCATAATGTCCTCCAGCTTCATTCATGTTCTGAGGTGTTTCACAGATTCATCATTATTTTTCAGTTTTTTAGTATTCCACTATGTATATGTACCAAAGTTTGTTTAACCATAATCCTGATGATGGGCATTTAGACTGTCTCCATTTAGATGTGTCTCTTGGTGGGTGGTGGTGTGTCGTAGAGTCAGTTCCGACTCATAGCAACCCTGAATAAGGTTTCCAAAGCTGTAAATCTTTACAGTAGCAAAAAGCCTCATCTTTCTCCCATGGAACAACTGACTTTGAGGTTACAGCCTGACTTGTAACCACTACACTACCAGAGCTCCTTGATATGTCTCTTAGAGATAGCATATTGAAGGATCTTGTTTTCTTGTCCATTCTGCTCTGTCTCTTGATTGGTGCATTCAATCCATTTACATTCAGTATAATTTTCAATAGGTATGAATTGATTGCTGTCATTTTGCTGTGTGTTTTTTGTCCCTACAGCCATTCTTAATCTCAACCTTTCAGGGATGTTGTTTGATTAAATTCATTTCTCAACTGCTTCCTCATCGCTGTCTTTCCATTTTTCAAAAATTCTTACTTTACTGACTGTCCTTTCCTACTGCTTCCTCTTTCCATCTCCCTCCTGGAGGCCAAACTTCGCCTCTCATACTTCGGACATACTGTCAGGAGGGACCAGTCACTGGAGAAGGATATCATGTATGGTAAGGTGGAGGGACAGAGAAAGAGAGGAAGAACCCCAACGAAATGGATTAGCAGCATTGATGGACTCAAGCGTGGCAACAGTAGTGAGGTTGGCCCAGGATCGGGCAATGTTTCGTTCTGCTGTGCATAAGGTCGCTATGGATCGGTACCAACTTGATGGCACCTAACAACAACAACATTCAAATTACTGGGGGGAGAAAGGGATCTACCTCTAATACTTTCATAGTCACTTCTCAACCCATCTCAGTATAGCTTTGGCCCTCACCTCACCACTGAAATCTCTAGCTAAAATCAACTGGATACTTTTCAGGTCCTTCTCCTTTGGCTTGACATTGATGGCTGCTCTTTCCCTGAAATGCCTTTTTTCCTTAATGTCCATCTGTCTGTCCACTCGACACTATTGATGGACTCAATCTTTTGTTTATCCCTTAAATATTGTGGTTCCCTAAATACCTGCTCTAAGTTCTGCTTTGACTATATGAGAGTATATAAAAAAGCACTGCTACAAAATAATAGAAACCTTTATTAAACAAAAACAGAAAACTGTGAAAACTACTGCCAAAAGAACAAACATATCTGTGTTGGAAGAAGTTATGTCTGAATGCTCCTTAGAAGGCAGGATGGCCAGACTTCATCTCTTATACTTCAGACATAAGAAGGACATCACCCTCAGTGGCAGCAGCAATGGGCTCAAGTGTAGCAATGACTGTGAGGCTGGTGTAGGACAGTGTTTTGTTCTGCTGTGCATAAGGTTGCTATGAGTCTGTACTGACTCAAAAGCACCCAACAACATAGTCTCCAACTAGGTCTAAACACTTTTAAAAACACGTTTCCATCTCTCTCTGACCCTTCCCCAAATAATTCTGTGCCTATCGATTTACACCACATCAAAACAACATTTTGGTATTCTTGAAGACTCAAAATTGTGTTCCTTTGAAATGTTCTTTGAGTTTGGGGAACAAAGAGATGTCTACAGGGGCAAGATCAAGTCTATTGGGTGGATGGGATAAGGTTCCCCAACAAAAATCTCCTAAAACAGCCCCTACTATCTTTGAAGAACGAGAAGGTGCATTGTTGTAATGGCAAAAATTCCTCAGTGCAACTTTCCTTGCTTTTTTCTCACTAATACAGTGACTACAGTGTTCGAATGTCTTCCTAATAAGCCAAGTGATTGTACTTTGAGAAAAAAAATCAATCAAGTTAACCCCTTTGAAATCTCAAAAAATAGTCACCATAACCTTCTGAGCTGACCTCTCTTCCTTGGACTGAACTGGCATAACATATCCCCTCAGAAGCCACTGTTTTGATTGGACCTTTTTTTTAAAGGCACCCTAATGAGACTAAATAAGAGTATGCTTTACTAACTAACTCTTGGTGTGGCGCTGTAGGATCAGCACTGGACTGCAAACCACAAGGTCGGCAGGTCAAATCCAGCAGCAGCTCCTTGAAAATCCCATACTGGGTCGCTATGAGTTGGAACCAACTTGATGGCACAAGACAACAAACAACAACAAAACTAAGACAAACGGATTACTGAGAGAGCTTGTCTGCACCCATCTAATGGTCAAGTTGTTGTTATTGTTGAGTGCTGTGGAGTCAGCTCTGACCTATAGCGACCCTGTATAGCGTTTCCAAGGAGAGGCTGGTGAGTTTGAACCACTGACCCTGCAGCTCAAACCAACTCTGCAGTCTATCACACTAAGCCACAGTGCCACTTAAGGACTCCATATGAACCCAATATTTATATTCATTTAGAAAAATGGGTTGATTTTACCAGGCATGACTTTTGTGCAGTGGCTACTTTGGGAAATGTATAAACAAAATAACCCATTAAGTCAGCAGCCAAGCACTTAATTACACTACCACCTTAGGATTTATCTGATACATTCTCATTTTCTCCACTTCTGTAAAATCTTAAACCAACTTAAAGGCAGGACTCCTGGTGTGACACTATAATTTCAGCACCAGGATGCAAACCACGAGGTTGGCAGCTCAAACTCTCCAGCTGCTCCTTGGAAACCCTATACAAGGTCACTATGAAGTCAGAATCAACTCAGTGGCACTTAGCAAGAAGAAGCAGGATTTAGTAGTAGACGCTCGAACCAGTGCCTCCCTCCTCAGCGTGCCTATTACTTTATTCCTTTTGATCACAGACCAGCATTTTCCCACAAGCTTCTCTTAAATGTTTCCTCACAAAGCTAAACTAAAATTCATCATTCATAATGCAAAAGCCTTGTAGATGAGTAAACTATTTCTCTGTATTTCCTTTAGACATTCCTTCAGGTGAAGAGAGAAAGCTAGTGGTGTTATGATATAAAATACTAAGCACAAAATGTTTTCAAATTTGTATTAGAGGATGAGCTCTTCAGGTTCTTTCAAAGGATTCAAAAAGTGAGAAATCCCAAAATGTTCTGAGAAGCTGGGGGAGATGAGGCATTTCAAACAAGAGCTAAAGTGCAGAAAGGACTGTCTCAAGCAGGAGGATCCAAGTGCTCCAAAACGTACACACGTTTCTTGCCAAGTAAATATCCTATTATCTGCTGAGAACTTGAGATGTATACAGGAATAGAGGCTAGGGAGGCTGAGAAGAGATAGGAGATATGAGTATCTCTTCTAGTGTTAAAAAGCTAAAACTAATTCTCAGCTCACTCTATGCTGGGAAAGTAACAGCTTTGGAAAAAGGCATTATCAACTGCAGTTTTCAACACAGCCAACTCTTTCATTCCCCTCCAAGCATCTAGGTCCTAGTGATGGAATCCTCTAGGGACACAGCAATCTAGAGCTCTAACCAGGAAATCCCAATCACAAATTTCAGTGATGTGGAGAAGGCAGCCGCTGAAAGTTCTGACAATTACAACACTTTTGATCCAGGTCCTTATTTAAAAAAACAAAAGAGAAACAACAACAACAAAAACCATTGCTACCATTTGATAACTGGTAAATAGAGAAAAGGAACTGTGAGAGGAAGAATAGCAAGGTTGTCTAGTTCTCTTGTAGCAGGATTCCAAAAACAGGTAAGGCCATCTCTTGTTACTTTCTATAATCTTATTCTATCTTAGTAGTCCCAGTATGGTGCTGTGGGTTAATGTGCCAGGCTGCAAATCTGTTTTAACTGCAAGGTCGGTGATTCAAGCTCACCAGCTCCTCCTTGGAAACCCTATACAAGGTTGCTATGGATAGGACTCAACTCAACAGCACTTAACAACAACATTCTATCTTTAGATTCTTATTTGTTGCTGTTGACTCAGTTCCGACCTTGTATAGGGACTCCAAGGAACAACCGATGGGTTTGAACCCTAAACTGGTGGTTAGCAGACTTATGCTTATCCTACAGGGCCACAGGAGGACCCCTGATTCTTATCAGTAAAGTTAATTTCAGGATAGTTAGAAAAACATCCTCTCATATGTAAAAGAATGGAGTCCTGGTGTGGCACTGTAGGTTAATGAGCTGAACTGCAAGATCGGTTTGAACTGCAGGGTAGGTGGTTCAAGCTCACCAGCTGCTCCTTGGAAACAGGGTCGCTACTGAGTCAGAACTGACTCAATGGCACTTAACAACAATTTGTAAAGGAAGCTGATGTGTTTCACCCACCATCAAGAAAGCAAAAAGTTTCCCAGCTTTTGGCACACACATACACACACACATAAAACAGCAAGCAAAAAACTGTTTACATTTCTAGTGGTTCTCCTTCTCCTCCCTTTCAAATGGACGGTACTCCTGGCAACCAAAGAAATATAGCTAAAGCAGGCCAAACTGGATAAAGATGGGACACAGTTCATGACTAAATCAGAAGAAAGCTAACTGGATTAAGAGACTAAAAATGTTTGTGGAAAAATGGAATTAAAAGATAACAGAATTTTCCCACTAACTTTTTAAAGCCCTCTTGTATGGGGATTGAATCCATGAGCTTTGCCTTCTCAGGCCATGTCACAATAACCACTTACAACACATGTCCACAGTAACAAAACCAAGATCACACTGAGTGTTCCAAAGTCAAACTAATGTGACTCCAAAACCAGCATTTGAAATTTATACATGAAAAAATGGTAGAAGTATTAACTAATATAATACTTGCAGGAAAACCTGGGTTTATGCCTTAGCTGCTTTGTAGAAACCTATCTAAAAGTTGTTTATTTATGTTCTAAAAAGCTGTCCTTCAGAGAATGCCTAAAAAAACTTAAGCTCTTTGAAAGATGGTTAAAAAAAAGTTAAGATGAACATCGGTAATTCACATCTTTCCAAAAGGGAGTACCTGGTAGCATACAATACATCAGGGTCTTAAACTCTCAAGAGACACAAAAGACCCACAGACTCACCTTACAAACTGATCTCGTCCGCCCACTGCAAACTGGTGGGTATTGGCAGGATTCACATAGATTGTATACAGTCCCACTTTCTTCTCCTTCTCTTTTGTCACCACCAGTTTCCTTTAAGAGTAGAAAAACACGCAAAGATCCAGATGATCACAGCAAGTAAGAGTAGAGTTAGTATAAACATGGTCAACAGGAAATCATAATCTCACCTCGAAACATTTTCTTGTGTTTTTTTTTTTTCATTTTGGAATACTTTAATAAAAAAAAAAAAGGACAAAACCCAAGACCACTACTTTAGGGATTAGAAAAAAAACAACAAAAAATCATGTAGTAAAACAATCTTTTAGTGTTCCTTAAGTATAGGCTATAGGTATAAGGAAGTACTGCTCCTTGTGAAGCTTCAGTTTAATGAGAATCAGCACAGTAACAATCACTAAACAAACAATACTACTCACATCTTTCTATCCTTTATTTCTAAATACACCTTTCCCAATTACCTGGGAGCAGAGAGAATGAGTTGGAAAAGAATCAGAAAAAACAGCAGGCTAAAAAAGGATGTTTAAGGTTTCAATCTCCCAGAGTCCACAAAAATGGCACTGAAACCCCTTTTAAAAATGCCCAATTGTAAAACAGCCTGGTAATGGTATAACAATAGACAGATGCAACCAATAAAATAGAATAAAGAGTCCAAAAATAAATCCATACATCTAAGGTCAACTGATTTTTAACACAGGTGTTAAGTCCATTTGATGGGGAAAGAAGATTCTCTTCAATAAATGATACAGGGGAAACTGGATTTCCACATGTAGAAAAGTGAAATACAATCCATGCCTCATAGCATGTACAAAAACAAATTCAAAATGGATTAAGGGTCTAAAAGTGCAAACTGAAACCAAAATTCTTAGAATAAGCAGGGACAGACAACAGTGTCAGATCTAGCTTTTTAAAAAATGGATTTTCTAATATAATACCAAAAGCACAAACAGTAAAAGACAAAATAAACAAGACCTCATAAAAATTAAGAACTTTTATGAAAAGATGCTACCAAAAAAGAGTAAAAGATAAGCTAAGTATTGATGAACTTGACCTACACCTTTGGAAGCAGTAGCTCAAAAGAGGGAACAAGTCCTTACAGCAAGAATCATTCCCACCCCCCTCCACACACAAAGTAGACAGGGATGGGCAACTTGGACATTGGCTACCCAAAATGGGGGGCGGGGGCTACAAAGGCAAGAAGTGACTGGCTTACAAGCTTTCAAGAGGGAACCTAGATCCAGAGGGCCTGGAGGAAGGTAGAATCTCCAGTGAGTAGTGTTCAATCTGACTAGGCGGGGCTGATGCAATGAAATACAGACAGGTCTCTTGTGATACAATAGTGAATAATAGTTATCAGGACTGATTGTGAGGGTCGGAAATATAAAGGTAGACCTTTTATAGCAAGGAGGGGAGGTCCCTAGGACCATCAAGGGAGAAGAGCAGAGAGCGGGACCCTACCCAGAGAAGCAGTGATGCCTGAAATGGAGCCAGAGATGATGATGTGGAGCTATGGAGCAGCTGGAGACTTTAGATCCACGGAGGGAGAGCGACTGTGTGCTTAAGATCTAGGGGGTACGGGGGAAGGACTGCATGGAGGGGATTGTAACCATGGCAATGAGATGATATATGATAGCATGAATGTAAAACTAATGTTCTCCCATGTAAACTATCACACAATTCACAATAAAACATTTAAGAAAAAAAATGAATAAAAATAACATTGGTCCTTAAAAAAAAAAAAGCTAAGGACAAGGGGACTTCAAAAATTTCATGGGAAATTTCCATTATCTTTTTTTTTTTTCCTTAAATGATTTATTGTGAATTATGTGACAGTTTACATGGGACAACATCAGTTTTACATTCATTCTATTGTATATCGTCTCATTGCCATGGTTACAATCCCCTCCATGCAATCCTTCCCCCATGCCCCCCAGGTCTTCAGCACA